GGGTTACAGTTGTGCCACGGGTATAAAACGTAAGCTGGGAAGCTAACAGCTTATCAAAATAAATTTCTTTAAATTTATAAAGCTGAGTATTAATCATTTTTTAATGCAGGCATGAACTTCAGAGCAATATATACTCTGTATATGAATTGTAAACTTTTCTATGAACTTTCTACTATTCATACTTGCATATTATATCCATATACATATGGGTGTGTGTATACATTTATACATATTTAGCACAGAGGTCATAAAGTCACATCATTATTCAAAAAGCGCTGTTAGTCCTTGCTTAATTTATGTGCATATCTTTGTCCTGTTGCAGCCTAGGGCTCTTCAATGCATGCTTGTCTTTAAGCATCGAATGCATTCAAATCAGTTGGAGAAGAAGGGTTTGATTTTAGTGTGTTTTGCCTCCTTGACAGTAAAGAAACTGGTTATTTTGTGTAGAACTGAGTCAGTCACTGAAATGGCTGTTTTCTACTCAGTGCTCAGCCTCTGACTTGGGTGCTTTGTATATATATTTACCCTCCCTGTGCTGGGGGTACTGCTGCAGGGCTTTTGGAAGGGCTTGACAGCTTCTGCAGGGAACGGCCACGTCAGCAGCAATGCTCGCAGAAGTCTAGAGGTGGGGAAGCACGTCCTGATGTAGGATGCTGCTTGCAGTGCCCTTGATGTCTTGAAACACAGTGCAGAGGAGCTGAAAGACTGCTCTGCTTGGCTTCACAAATGTATTCACGTGGGTCCAGAGCTGTACGTCAGCAACAGGTGCTTCTAAATGCAGCTGTGTTAAACAGCAGTTGGTTTATTAAGCTTATACTGCCCTTCTCTGAGTCAGTCAGGTTACCCTCCAATTATTATTTTAAGGGATTCTCATTCCCAAATGCACGTCTTTGGCTCAGCAGATGCAGCAGACCTTGCCAATGGAAGGGAAGGGAGCAGAAATAAGCTGCTGCAGCAGGGCAGGGTAAGGATTGTCCCATCAATGAAGGTTCCCCTCCCAACAGATGCTTTCTGCTTTATCTCAGAAACTTTTCCCCCTCTTGTTTGTATTAAATATCATCCCAGCTATTTATGTGGCTGCCGTAACCGTTCACAGAGGTGGGGTGGGAAGGAGGGCTGCAGGGGAATGACAAATTGATTTGCTGGTGGGATTTACGGGGCGAAAATTAACCACCTTTCAAGTAAACGGATCAGGAAGTCTTAAACAAACAAGCCGAAAAATCAGGCTTGAACTTCTTCCTCTTGCTCCTGCGCCCTTGATAAATCAGCCGAGATTCAACAGTCCTTCCATGAATTTTCTGGCTGCCGAGGGCACGAAGAAGTTCCTGCCAGCTACTGAACTGTGAATTGCTGCGTGTGGCACCTGGCGGACCCGGAATGGTTTGCTGCAAGCTGCTCGATGTATTCATCACACTTCCCCGGTTGCGTGCGGCGGCTCACATCGAAGCTGAGAAAGATGATTCACGTTGCTTTCCTCTCTCCCTCTTGTCAGTAGCAGCAGTAGCCAGCCCTCAGAGCAGCGTTTGAAGCAGTAAGTGCCTGGCCCACAGCCATGAGTAGCTGCTGCTCGGCTGGGCCCTCTGATGGTACTGCAAGCAGATGAGAGACGAGGTAAGGATTGGCCTTTTCCACGGGGACAATCAGAGCTGGGTATTTAAGTACTAATCAAAAAACAATTTGGGGGAAGCCTTTAGAGTGGCCAGAAGCTATTTTTCAGGCCTGTGGCCTGTGCTGTCAGATAACTCCCTCTTTCTGCTCCAAGGTGCTTGAGGTGATGGATGAGATCTCGCACGCTGTTCGGAGTCGTCTTGTGAATATCGGCGCCTCCAGGATGTGGTGCCAGCCCAGGACGGGCATGTTTTATGCTCCCAGAGCACCAGCCGAAATGGCTACGCTGAAGGGGGGGATATCCAGTGGTGCTGTGCTCCTGCCAGCTGTTAATGTGACACTGCAATCATACAAACGGGGTTGGGTTACCTGCTGGCAGCTTCTCGTTAAAACAGCAGGCTGTGCTGTGCAGGTGGGCCTGAAGAGGGTGTGTGGACATAAAATGATCTCTTTGCCATTGGGGGACTCAAAATGGCAGTAAATCTTTCAATTTCCCCTGATTTGATTTAGATTCTTCATTGCCTTGGCTCTGAGCTATGTTCCTGCCGTGTGAGGCACCCCCAGGCACTGGTCAGGGCCTGGCTGACTGAAGCACGCGCTCCGGCAGGGATCCAAGCTCCGACCTCCTTCTGGAGCTCTTTCTGTGAAGCACCATACCTTTGTTTTGTGGCTTTTGGTTCCCCAGGGTTGTTAGAAACACACAAAGCCTGTGAATTTAGCAGGCAGAAGAAGCTCAGGGCAAAGGCAGCTGCAGGAAAGGGTCCTGCTGCCGTCCTGCTGGTGAGCAGAGATGTGCTCGTTGGCACTGGGACAAGGGCAGCCCACCTACAAACGAGTGCGTAACCCAGCCAAGGCACTGAAATGCCTGGAGATCTTAACCCCTGTCCTTCAGATCCTTCCACATGGATGTTAAATGTGTTCCTCCTACGTATCCATCAAAGTGCCTGAGAACTCAGGTCTTGGCCTAAAAGGCGAGTTTTAGTTCTCTGTTACTCCTCTCCTGTTGTATACCCCAACCTCCCACCTAAGATGTTCACGTTCAGAGATGTTTTTCCTTTCAAGAGCTGTTTGGTTTTGATCTCTTTGCCAATTTCACTCTTTACTTCCTTAAACTGGGAAGCCTGTTTCTTAGGTGATGTTGTAGTGATAAAGGCCTAATATTGAAGTCTAGTCTGAGAGAGGGCAGATGGTCTCACCACTGCCTGAGCAAAAACATTGAACAGGCAGTGGGAACACCATGGTGAGGCCCTTCAGTTTCCCAAAACCATAGCAGCATTGTCTAATTTCAAGCAGTCACGAGCTGGTGTACCTTTCCCTGACAGGTTCATGCATTATATATGTAAAATATTCACGTGCCTATGGAGGAGAAGAATAAATATCTGTGATGTTTTCAGGCTGATGTAGAGATGTATAACCTAAGTGTGTACGTGTGAAATGTTTGATCATCCTTGCATCAGTATGAAGTTTGTGAAGGTGTAAAATTTGCATTTTAGGTCTCCTGTAAGCCTGGGAATGTGTCTTGTTTGAAGCAGTTGAGCAAAGTGGGCTTTGGACACTGAGTTACTCTTCAGAAAATACCTTTCCCCTTGTCAAAATGTATTGTAGTGGGTTTTTAAGTGACTGGCTGAAGTCCTGGTCCTTTTGACATCAGTTTTAGCTCTGCCTTCTGCAGAATCAAAATGTTGTCCTCCAAGCGTGGCGTCCTGATCTTCTCAGTATCTAGAAATGCAACGCTTCTTGCCTTGCCTGTTTATTCATACAAAGGCTTTTGTTGCCAGCTCAGGCATTAATTTTTGTTGTGCTTTCAAACTGAGCTGTACTTTTGGTTGAAAAGCACTGCAGGAAGAACAATTTCTTCCAGAGCATGCGTCTAGGCCCATAAATAATAAATGTCATAAGTCGGAGTGACGCAGGCACCCCTGCACCACACCATGTGCAAGGCAAAGGTTCAGTAAGTACCAATTTACCCGCTGTTTGTCAGTCCTACACCCAGAGGGGTCTGTTCAGACTTCTGGGCTGGCTTAACAAGTTTGGGTCATTCTGTATGGCTTCGTAGGAGTTCCAAAATGTTAACTCATTTTCTTGTGTGGTGCTGTTATTTTTTTCGGAGGTTGCAACTTTTGAGGTGCATTAAATATTTAGCCAGCTCTTTGGTGAGGTTTGAGTAGGTTGCCTTGGCGCAGAGCTGACTTGCAGCAGGCTGGGGGTGCTGATTATTTGGAAAGAGCTTGGGACTGCCACACTTAGAGTGCTGTAGTAATTAACAATTAGTTATTATAGTTCGTGCTGTAGTTCAGAGCCCTCCTTGAGGTGGCACAGGCCTGGAATAATTGGAGTTGATGGCACCTTGTCCTTGTAATCCTAGCGGTTTATAATGTTTCCAGGTTGGCCAGAACCGTTCTGCTTGTTCTGTGCGGGGAAGGCAGGGGTGTAAAAATGGCACTCCCGAGCAGGAGATGAGAAAACGTCTGTTTTATTTCCGTGGTGCCCTAGTTTAGTAGATGCGGCCGTTCTGTTTATTCGTCGTGCTGGCAGGCTCGTTTCTGAAGGTCTGGCTTTGTGAAGAATCTTCTGTCGATTTTTGCAGAACGCCATTTGGGTTGGTTCTTTGTTTCTTGCAGCTTATTTTTCTCCTGTATTTGGCTTTTAACTGGCGCTCGGAAACCTCAGGTCCCCACGGGTTCAAGCTGTGCTGCTGAGGCTGGTGTCAGGCACTTCAGTGACCTTCAGCGTGGATGCAGGCAGACGCTCTCTTAAAAACCCAGCTCATTTCAGTGCCTTTGCGTTCAGGAATTACCATTTCCACCGTAAAGGATAACTTCATTGCAAAATGACGCTTCCCTCGAGCTCTGAAGGAGGGCACTGGCGACGCTGCTCAATACTGAGCTATTTGCTGACCATCACAGCTAGGAAATTGCTTCCCCGGTGCCAAGGGAATTGCTAGAAAGCATGCGGGATGGCTCTCGCATCCTCAAGCGAGGGGCATTTTTCTCCTATTGTTTTGTCCTCCAGCATTAATAATACCCCAAAAGGGGCATTAATAATACCTAAAAGCAGTGTTTCTGAAATTAATGTCCCCACACCCGTGTGCTGTCCGTCCACCTCCCGGGACGTGCTTGGCTCTGCTCTGCGGGGCTGTCGGTTCCAGCGCGGCCGCCCTTCGGGGACTCGCAGGAGCACTGCAGCAAATCATCCTGCATGCAAGGCTGACCTCCGGGAGGCTAACAAATTGGGGTGAGCCAGCTGGAGCGAGAGGACACCGCCGGCACACTCGGAGCATGCTCAGACCTGGGGGAGAAAGGTAGCCGGGGCTGCAGATGGTGCCCGGGTTGCCGTGCCGGGAGCTGGTGGATGCGATTTTTTTTTTTCTTTCCTTTCTTTCTTTCTGGTAGCAGGGGAAGAAGAGGAGTGGGGAGTGCTCGTTCCCGTGCAAAACGTAGCTTTAAGGTGTCTTCTTTTGTCCTTCCTCCCGTGAAAGAGGGGCAGCAGCGGATAGCCTTTCCTTTTATTTAGCAACACCAGGTATGCGTGCATGTGCTGAAACACTGACCTGCCAGCGGTACTGCTTCCAGGGCTAAAAACGCCCCGAATTGATGTCTTTCTGCGCCGGGTGCTGCTGTAGCTGTGCTCTGCTTGCTGTGTGGCTCTGAATTCAGCTCTCTCGGCTCTCCTGGCTGCAGTGTACTTTTTTGGGGGGGTCCAGCATGTGCTTGCACTCTGCCTCCTCGCACGCTTCACTCCAAACCTTTCCTCGGTGGCCGTGGCTGCGTGGGAAGGAGGAGGTCAGTAGTTCCTTTTGTAATCCAGGTCTTTGTGGCCCCTCTTTGTCTGGCCGGTGGCTTGCTCTGTCGCTTTAAACAAAAGTCTCACAAGGAAAAACAGCTCCTGGCTGGGCTAAATCCTGTGGGTTTTCAGAAATAGGTTTCTTGCTGGTCAGTGGCTGCTTTGGGATGGATTTATTTTAATTTCTCTTCACTCTCCCCTAAAGATATGATACTGTAGAGCCTGTGGTAACCAAGATTTGCACTGCTCTTCTTGGTTTGGCTGTGCTCCCAGTCTTTTTGGCCCCTGCTCACAATTTGTAGCACCCAGGGGTGGCCTCAGGACCGTACTGGAGGGACGCGGGGAGAGCTCAGGCTGCGCGTGCTGCTAAGCACCAGTCCCAGTATACAAATAACACCAGTACTCTGCCCCTCAGAGGAGGAGGAAAGAAGGGATACAGAGGAATAACAAGTTGCATCTAAAGCCCAAAGGCATGGCTGGAGTGGCTAAGGCTCATCAGGTTCAGTACTTCCAGGATTTTGCCTCGTGTTCTTTTAAATTCACTTCTGCAGCATTGGTAAATTTTACCCTCAGCCACCCCCACTCAGTCTTTGCTGTCGGTGGACCACTGGATTCAGGTAAAACTACTGCTCTCCAACATGTTTTTTTCTTTTTGACAAAGACATCGTGCTTGCAGACTGAAAGCAAGAGACCAAACAGAAGGATATCTTTATTTTTTTAACTCATAAGCCAGTGCTGTTACCAACATAACCCAGGAGCTTTCAGTAGGGTACTCGGATGTGCAGAGATCAGCTGAAATGAGCTCTGTCTGCTAAGCTTCCCCCTCTGGCTGGCCGTGGGTATTTTGAGTACCTTCAGGTTTCGTCTTTAGGTCTGGGGCTGTTGGATGAAAGTAAAGACCTGAAGACTTGGGAACTGAGATAAATACTTTTTTTATTTTTTTTTTAGCTCATGTTTGTCATCTCCCACCTCAACCTTGTTTATCTTCATCAGAAATGCATCTGACTTGGGGGAATTTTCTCTTGATTGGGGTTCATTTTGCTTGTGGAAGGGATTTAGTACTCTCCTGGCTGGAGAAGAGAGTGTAGAAGAGTGGTTCTTAAAAGCCCAAGAAGTATTCTTCATCGTTTCCTACTTTTAGCTCAGTTCTGTGGTTTACTTACACGTATTGGCTGCGTGCTGTTGGAATTACCATTTTATTACCTGTCCTCTTGTAGGTCAAGACAGCGGGGTCAACAAATGTTAAATTCATGGCTTCTAATCAACCTGAAAGTCAGGCTGAGTCTCTTCCTATTCCAGCTCTTACTGAATGTGAAATTAAATGGTAAAAAAGGTAAATCCTTCCATCCATAAGCACCACGGGTAGGCGTGCAGTAGCCACCAGTATTCTCCTGCTCGTACTGAAGGTATGTTTGCAGTAGGGACCATGGCACAGAGCCCCAGTCTCCTTGTGTGGAGGGCTTACAGTTTTCCTTCCTATTCCTGCCTTACACTTCTGTACCAGAAGAACTGAAGTTCAACCTAATTTTGGTTACAGCTGTCCGTAGACAGCTAAAGTTTTTGGTGAAACAGTTGTTTTCAGTTGCTGTTATGTTTTGGTTTTATTTATTCTGGTTCTAGTTCATCTTAAATTCCACTCGAGAGTACAGAGTCAAGGTATTCTTATTTTTCATACCCTCTTTTTGTCTCAGGCTTCATTAATGCTATTTGTAGCTTTAACTGCTGCATTTGTTCCCTTCAAGAATCGGCTCTTTTCCTGTTCTTTAAAAAAAAAAAGTCAGCCTTTCTACACTTGGCTGCTTTTTACAAAGGAAATGTTCCAGGATATCAATCATTCAGCGTACCAGCCTTTCTGCAACGCGATGTGTGCTGTGAAAGATGTATGTATCTCATTAAACAAATACAGTGAATGAGATGATAACAGCCTTTCGGGCTGCGGGGATTGACTCGCTGGTGGTTCTGCAGGAAAGCTGTGACAGAGATGAGAAGAAAAGCCAGTTCTTGGATCCCAACTCCCCCTCCTCGCGATCAGGAGAGCTGCCTTCTAGCAACTTCTGCTTTCGGCATGAATGAAGGAGGTATTTAAGACTGCAAGCATTACATACACCACGTCCCCGGCTACAGCAGGGATGGGAGAAGGAACGGGAGACGTTTTGCAGGGGGAGTGTGAAATGTCACGTTGGCACTCCTTGCTTTTTCCCCACCGGAAAGCCAGCCGAGCAGGAGAAGCTGCTGGGAGTCAACAAATGTTAAATTAATGTAGCTTTGCTCCTAATTCCTTACCTAACTAATAAGTGTGCCTGGGATAAGTCCAGAGGGCAGCTTACTGTGAAGCAGCTCGCTTTAGGTGGAGGGCTGAATGCTTTCACCTCTTGCAGAGCTACCTGCTGCCTCCTGGGCACGTTTCCCATCCCAGGACTGCTGCTGCTGGCAGCACTTACTGCCTGATTTCACCCTGGGGACACCGAGGAGCCAGGGGACATGGAGATTGATTATTTTTCCTCTGCCCCTTTGCTGCAGCCTCTCCTGGGTATCTGAGAGCAGACGGATGGGACAGCGTGCTCCTACTTGTTCTGCCACTCCCCAAGGTTTTAGTTCCCCGAGGTGTTCGCTGCAGGCATCAGGTAAAAAGAGCAGATGGTAAAAATGTGGGGAAACAAGCAAAGATTCAAGACCGGTCCCCGAGAGCCTGTGAAATGCTCTCTTCATTTCTGCCCCTGACAGCCCGTTCCTGTCCGTTTTCCCCCGTTCCCTTCCATCACAAGCAGCTCTCAGCGAAGCAGCGTGAGCCAAGATCCGCGGATCAGCAACGAGAAGCAGGAGCGGAGATGAATTCCTCCAGCGCTGCTGGCTTTCAATATTTATTCCCGGCACTTGGTCAGCCAAAGCTCATTCACTTCCTTGCACTTAGCTGAAGTGATGGCAAGAGCTGCAGCCGGGGAGGAGGTGGAGGAGGGCCTTGCAGGAGGTTTTTTTTTTATTATTAAAAAGCTGAGCTGTGCATTTGTAGCTGTTTCTTGCAACTTGCACCCAGGACAAGATCAGGTTTAAATCACTGCGGAGGAAATTGAGGCTGAGCTTTGGGAAGGGGTCTGTGCTAACCCTTCGTGCCTTCATTGCTACAGCTTGGCAGGAGAGATTGATAAGCATTAAAAATGGGATATATGAGTGTCTTTTGGGGATGGTTTAGGGGGAGCTGACCTTGCCCTGATAATTAGATGGCTACATGACCGCTCTGTGTCCCTTCCCCTTCCTTGTCCATGGCTGAAATAGCACCTCTTAAATTCGCTGCTTGCTTTTAGGGAGTTGCTAAACAAAGCAGTTTTTCAGACCAGCTTGCCAGAGGAGGTGGACTTCATTTCTATTTCATTGGAGTCGTTACAGCTGCTCCGAAATTGAAATGAATTTGTTGCTCAGCTCCCCAGGGACCACCGCTCGAGCCTGCACAGCTCGCAGCGAGTGCTCGCTTCTCCGGCGTTATTCAGTCTCCCGGGTGTTTCCAGCTCTCCCTTCAGACAGAGATCCCGCAGGCTGGAGGGATCCCTTTGAACCCCACTGAACTGGGCAGTAGAGAAGTGTTGGCGTTTGTCCTAAATCTACCTTCCTCTCCTCCTTCTCTTCTCCCTGGCATGTAAGAGCAAGCATCTCTGGGTTAAAATCCTAAAGGACCACTGCTCGGGATGTCAGAGCGCGTTGCTTTTTTCCCCTCCCTCCCAACTTGCATCAAAGGGAGTTTAAATTGCTACTCGGAGTTTAAAAACTGCAATTAGGAGCAGACTAATCAGGGGCGTCCCGATGAGAAATCTCTTCCTGCGGCTCCCCAGGAGTCGTGGCTGCAGTTTTATCTCCAGCCTGGCCAGCAGCGAGCCTTGATGCATAATGAAAATCGGAGCCCATGAATACTGTAGGCGGATCGATATCTCAGCTGAAGTTCGCAGCAGAAAATACAATCGATGCTCTTACACAAGCCAGGAGTGTTTCTGGACAGGAGGAGAACAGCGGCAAGTCCCCCCCCCGCCTCCAGTAAAATAACACCAAGCATTATGTTCACCAGCTCACCTTTCAAATCGTGGATCAAAATCTGCCCTTGGCTGTGCTCCTCGTGCTGCTGTTACCTGCTGCTAGCTACAGCTGAGGCGAGAGGCAGAGCTGGATAAAGGTGGCTGGGCACAAGGACCAGGAAAAGGAGCTGGCTCACCCAAGTCCTCTGTGAGTGGCCCAGAGGTTGTCTTTCCTCTGGCTGCTGGGGAAAAAAAAAAGGGGAAAAAACGCTGAAAAAAGCCTAAACCCTCTCGCGTAGTCCATAAAATATGAATTACGATAAGCCTGTAAACCTGATGCTTAAATGGTTCCTTTCCTATTTTATTTCCCACAGGTCTTTGCCTCCACCATGCCAAGGAGTGCTGATGATGTGCTCCCTCCCCGTCGCCTTCCCCGCCTGTCGTCCTGCTAGGAGCCAGCTCCAGAATGAACATAGCGGCGGTGTTTAACGCCCTGCTCGTGTCTGTCCTCGCTGCCCTGCTCTGGAAGTACATCAAGCTGCGAGAGCATGCCTTCCTGGTCGAGGAGGAGCTGGTCCTCACGCGCCAGTCCCAGGAGCTCTCTCAGGTGCAGATCGACTACCAGGCGGCTCTCCAGGCGCTGCTGGAGGACGGGACCAGGATGGTGTGCACGGGCAGGATGCACACCGACCGCCTCTGCCGCTTCCAGTCCCTCTGCTACTCCACCGAGGCTGAGGAGTTCATCTACTTCCACAGCAACGCCTCGGTCATGCTGCCCAACCTGGGCTCCCGGCGCTTCCAGCCCGCTCTGCTCGACCTCTCCTCGGTGGAAGACCACAACACGCAGTACTTCAACTTCGTGGAGCTGCCTGCCGCCGCTCTGAAGTTTATGCCGAAGCCGGTCTTCGTGCCCGACGTGGCGCTGATCGCCAACAGGTTCAACCCCGACAACCTGATGCACGTCTTCCACGACGACCTCCTCCCCATCTATTACACCATGCAGCAGTTCAGTGACCTGGGCGCGGAGGCGCGGCTCTTCTTCATGGAAGGGTGGAGCGAAGGCGCTCACTTTGACCTCTACAAGTTGCTGAGTAACAAGCAGCCGCTCCTCAGGGAGCAGCTGAAAACCTTGGGCAGGCTCCTCTGCTTTACCAAATCCTACGTGGGGCTGTCCAAAATCACCACCTGGTACCAGTACGGCTTTGTCCAGCCGCAGGGGCCGAAGGCCAACATCTTGGTTTCTGGCAACGAGATCAGGCAGTTCACCAAATTCCTGATGCAGAAGCTGAACGTCAGCCTGGAGGAGAGCTCCGGCGAGGAGTACATCGTGGTGTTCAGCCGAACGATCAACAGGCTGATCCTCAACGAGGCGGAACTAATCCTGGCGCTGGCCCAGGAGTTTCAGATGAAAACCATCACCGTCTCTCTGGAGGAGCATTCGTTCTCTGACATCGTCCGGCTGATCAGCAACGCCTCCATGCTGGTCAGCATGCACGGGGCCCAGCTCGTCACCTCGCTCTTCCTGCCCAGAGGGGCCGCGGTGGTGGAGCTCTTCCCTTACGCTATCAACCCCGAACACTACACCCCGTACAAAACCCTGGCGACCCTTCCCGGCATGGACCTGCAGTACGTCGCCTGGCAGAACACCGCCAGGGAAGACACCGTCACCTACCCCGACAGGCCTTGGGACCAGGGGGGGATCGCTCACCTGGACAAAGCTGAGCAGGAGCGCATCATGAGGAGCACCGAGGTGCCGCGGCACCTCTGCTGCCGCAACCCCGAGTGGCTGTTCCGTGCCTACCAGGACACGAAGGTGGACATCCCTGCCCTCCTCCAGGTCATCAGGCAGGCCGTGAAGTCTAAGCCCGGGCCCAAGAAGCAGAAGTGGGCTGGGGGCCTCTACCCCGGCAAGGTGAGGGATGCCAAGTGTCAAGCCTCCGTCCAGGGCACGAGTGAAGCCAAGCTTTCCGTGTCCTGGCAGATCCCCTGGAACCTCAAGTATCTGAAGGTCAGAGAAGTGAAATACGAAGTGTGGATACAAGAGCAAGGGGAAAACACTTACATGCCTTATATATTGTCCCATCAGAATCACACCTTCTCAGAAAACATTAAGCCCTTCACCATATACCTGGTGTGGATACGCTGCATCTTCAACAAAAATCTCCTGGGACCTTTTGCAGATGTGCTCTTGTGTAGTACATAACCTGGAGCTCTACCTGGACAGCTCTGCCCTGCTCTCCGCTCCACCCGTGGTTTATAAACCTACTTTGTAGAGGGCTCAAGAGGACTAGGCTGTACCAGTGCCTGAGCGTCCATCTGATTGCACTCTGTGTGTGTGCGTGTGTGTTCTTTCAATGGTATTTATTTCCCGTGAGTGTTCAAAGAAAACTGTTCTTCGGAGAACTTCCAGGGGTCAGATTACGCGATGAACACGTGTAATTGAAAACAGAATGGAAGCGAATCGTGTGTACCTCGGTCGTGATTTGAATTTGTTTCTATCGTGTCGTGAGTATCTAAGCACAGCGTTAATCCGCGGTTAATTCCGTGGCTAGGTGGGCAATTCTCATCAGCTTTTTCACTGTAAGTTATTTTTTTTTCCAATAACTCTGTCTGTAAGTTTGAGTTAAAGGTTTGGTACGAGAGCTTTCATTAAACTGCTGTAAACCTCCCCGGTCCTTTTTTGCATTTTATTGTCTATCAGGATGATGTTGTGATAGATTTATCTGTTGCTGTGATAAAATGTGTACGTGGGTAGCTTTTTATTTTTCACATTTTGGCTGAGTAGCATATGAACAGCAGATTTCCTTGAAGAGACGGAGACGGCAGCATCAGCACCGTGCTTAAAATCTGATTTTACTGCACCCCGATAGTAAAAGGAAAAGCTGGAGCCGTAGGTGGGAGGTTGAAGTGGGTAAAATAATTGATTGTGATTTAATATCTGTTTTCATTGTGTGAGCTATGTACATTTCTTTGGGAAATGAAATGGCTGGTCTGGAAGAGGCAGTGGGTGAGAGAGGTTGTCCGGATAAAAATCCTCTCAAAGGAAATCCTTCTTTGGTTTTGATCAGTGTAATCTGTTGATAATAGCTGCTCATAGGTGCATGTTTTGCTAAGTATGAGATCCCGAAGTCCCAAAGGGAAGCTTTATGGGCACAGATTTTGCTGGATATGGTGCTGGGAGAAGAGGAAGAGTCAGGCAGGGGCTGCTAGGTGGGTGCAGTTGAGCTGGGCTGGGTGACAAATGAAAGCTCTGGGTCAGAGGTGTAGGACTTGGGGGAAAGAGGAAAAAAAAGGGCCGAAGTGTGGAGATATTTTGTTGATTGATGTTGGCATACTCCATGGTTTACAACCAACGTTAAAGCAACAGGAAAAGTGCTTTCTCCTACTGTCCTGCCAGGGTCTGGATGGATGTTCGCATGATGGGATAAATGGCTTGCTTTCTGAGTGCTGGACTGGTAGGTGAGCATCTCAGGGCAGGACAATAACACGAGTTTTAGTGAGGAGGAGCGAAAAACACTGCTACAGAAATCAGATGAGAAGCAGGAGGGCTGAAAAATGAGTAAAACACCGCGGTACAACATTGGACCTTCAGGCTAGTGTTACTTCCGTGAATTCATTTTCATTATGTCTTGTTTTCTTTTCAAACGTTGCTTATGATGTAAAGGGAAAAAAAAAATCCTGAAGCCTGTCAAAGTCTGTTTGCTTTGCCGTCGTAGCCTTGCCCATTAATATTTTTTGCTTTGGTATCTTGAAGGGGTGTATGAATACTCCAGCTGTTGTTTTCTTGAGACAAAAGGGGCTTCTTGCTGAAGGGAAGCAAGTGCCCGAGCTGGGTCCTGAAGTACCAATTTGCTTGCACATCACATACCGCAGCCATCAGAACCGAGATGAGAAAAACTTCATAAACAGGAGACAGAGAGCGGGCTTGTAGGAAAGCTTCCACGACCTGTGGCTCCCACTGGATGATTTTTTTCCCCCTCACATCAGGGTTTTCAGCAGCCTCCATCCCCACGTTTCATTCAAGTTGTACGTAGCCCTAAGGCCTCTGGCCATCCCCCTGCTGGCTGTCGCAGGGCTGGTAAGGTCGGTGCCCTGCCAACCCAGTGTTCAATAAGCCATAAGCAGCCTGAAATTTATTTAACGTTCATTTTGCATCGGTTTTCAGAAGTGATTTTCTTCGTGTGTTTGAGCTGCCCGTGGTCTCGGAGCCACCTTTCGTCATGGGCAGGCTGTTGGTCTGTGTGTTTCTCTCCTCCCCATCTTTCTCAGTGCCTTTTTTTTTAGCAATCCTTTGCCCGTAATTTGTAGAGCATCCCATTTCACTTAAAATTAGTTTCAGATGAGTGCAATTTTTCTCACATTTGCAGATCGCTTACAGCATGCGAGCTATTTTCTTCCCTTACCCTAATGGTTCTAATCAACAAAACCATCCATGGAGCAGAGGTGTCACGTCTGCAGGTTTGTGAGCTCATAACTCTAGCATCAAACAGTTTCTTGCATTCGGATCAAAAGTTTCTTGCATTGATCAAAAGGAATGCTGGCCTGGCATTGCTTAAAGCTCTGTCCCATAACAAATGCAGGTTTTTTGTGCACAGGGGCTGGGGATGCATCACTCACATGTGCAGGAGGACAGGGCTGGGGCTGGCTTATTGTATTTCCCGACCAGTTTATTCATCAGGCAAGCTTTGGAGCTCCTTTTGAGCAGCTGTGCCGCTCAGGAGACTCGCACCTTCTACCTCTGCATCATCTGTTGATGCTCCCAGAGCAAATGCATTAAGCTCTTTGCTGCTGTCAGGCCTCGCTGTCCAGGAAAAAGAGAAATAGCTGGGATTACATCCAAAACCCTCTCGGGGCAGGGCAGGATGCTAATAGCAAGCTGGGCTGCAGCTCGCTGCCGCCCAGCCCTGGGTGTGCTTACTGAGATGGATCAGCCAAGAGGATTTCCTCTGGCTGCCATTTCATATCTCATTTTAATTAGCCAGAGTGCAGGGAGCAGCCAGCTGCCGCGGGAGGACTCTTCCCAACACAGGAGGAGGAGGAGGAGGATGAAGAAGTGAAGGGGGCATTTGCCAGCCTGCAGGTGCACGGTGCTGGAGCAGCAGCTGCAGGCCGTGCAGGGATGCGGGACGGGACTTTGGGTACTGACGGAGTTATTTTCAGTTGCACAGAGCCCCGACCTGCCCTCAAAAGCAGTGCCCAGGAATAGCAGCGTTTCTTGAGAGGCTCGGCTCCAGGCAGGAGGCAGATGGCTCCGCTATCAGGCCGGCGCTGCTCTCCTGCGAGCGACGCTTTCCTGGTGGTGCAGCCCCCATCCTCCCGGGAGGCTGTGCTGCTTCTCCCCCGTGACAACCAGAAATTATTTCGGGCCAGCTTTTGCTTAAGAATATTGCTATATTTTTTAATTGCTTTATTTCTTTTAGTTAGTTATTTGTTGGCCCAATGGGTTTCCTCAGCTTTTGGCTTCTGCCTTGTCTGTGGGTGCCACTGGCTCCCCCCCTCCCTCCCATACATTTGCTCCTCACAGGGCCCAGACTGGACAAAGACATTTAGGAAATGGTTTGTTGTAAGCATCAGCCCCTGCCCCTGTGGGCTGTCTGTGTATGTGGCTGGCAGAGCCCTACAAAGATCCCAACTGAGACCTTCAGGAGAGAAGCGAGGCCTGCCTGGGTGTGAGGCGTCCCATAAGCACAACAATATCTAATTAACGTTACACAAAAGGGTGCCTTCAGCATCTCTGCCTCATCGCCGCGTCTCATCCGCCGAGCTGTATAAATAGCAGGCTTATTGCTACAATATTTTTGCTTCTGGTGCCCGCGCAGCGTCGGGCTGGGTGGATACGGGAGCGCTTCGTGCCTTCCTGGTGGCCTCGGGGTGGGAGCGCTCTTGGATCCGCTTTCCGTGTGATGACTGACAGTCCATCTGTGCTGTGGGTGGCACAAGAAGCAGCACCATCTGCGTGTGTACGAAGCACATCATAGTCTTTGTGTGAGATAAGTCGCCTCCTCCTCGACACAGCCCCTCGTGGGGCCTGCAGCGTGGAGCCGAAGGCGACCTGTGGCCCATGGGGAGCGAGGGCCGGGCCTGGCTGCTGCCTCCTGTTTTCTCCCAAGAACATGGCAGCAATCGTCACCTTTAAGCATTGCTTCGTCCTGCTGTTTGGAAATGTGGTGCTTTTAAAGCCTAATTGAGCCCAGCAATACCATTTCCCTCCTCAGCCCCACAGAGAGGAGCAGAGGGAGGCAGGATGTAGTGCTGCTGCCTGGGGTGAGCGACCGCAGAGCTGGGCACGGAGATGTGCTCTTCGTACAAGCCCTCATCCTAACCCTGCCTTGCCTCATTTTGTGGATTTATATCTGCTTCTACCTTGCTTTTTGATTCCTATTCCCTCCTTTCAAGTCTCCAGCTTTGCCTTTGGAAGAGGGGAAATTTGAGCTGGCCATTGGGCAGGGGCAAGAGCTGTCCTGGAAAATACCATCACGTCTCCAGCCACGGCCAGGCGAGCATCCAGGAGCTAATGTTTTAATGCAAGGAGGAGGCAGGACTACCATCTGCATCTGTATTTCACAAGCATCTTTTGTCCTCTGGTCCCTTCAGACAGCGAAAGATGCTTTTCTCTATGCATGAATCAGAGTCAGACAGGGCAAGGGGTGCGTGAGAAGTCTTTTTCTTTCCTTCCTTCACGTTTCTCCCCCAGGATTATGATGGTGTTTCAGAGCAGTGCTACGAATGGTAGATGACCTGAGGGGGAAAAAAACAGGATTCATTTGTGAGGTGTTTTCTGGGCAAGAGAGTCTCAGGTGCGTGGTGTTCGGGCTCTCCCCACCTCCCAGCGGCTACGTTTTGGCAAGGAGGTGGCCACAGGAGATCCTCTGCTCGGCGGTGCCCCATCGAGATGCTGTCTCCTTGGAGAAAGGGGACAGTGGGGTGTCTGCCACGGCTCCAAGGGGATGCTCACTGCAGCTGCACATCCCGCCTGCTCCTCTGGGAAATGCTTTCTTTGGCAATTTCTCCTCCGTCCCTCTCCCCCTCGCAATAAAAGCTCTGTCAGGGAGACGACCATCATTTTAATGGGAGAATTGAAATTCAAGTGCTAGCTTTCCACTGGAAAGTAGTTTTGAAGCAAAGTTTTCAGGAATCCCTTAGGGGTTAGAGGGTGCTTTCTGATTAAATAGCATTTCATTTAGGCTGCTTTCCTTTTCCCAGGCTAGGGGGAGGGCTGTGAAATTAGTTGGGCTGACACCAGGGCCCCACCTGCACTGCAGAGGTTTCGTGGGACCCTCAGGGGAGCCTTTTCTCCCCAAAAGCTCCCTGCAAAGCTTGGGTGTGACCGTGCAGGCAGAAGGAAAGCCCTGCCAAGGAACAGCTGCCTTCACCTCCTGTAGGAAGGACCAAATTTAAGCACGATCAAGAAGTCAGGATTTTGGATGGGGCATCCTGGCAGCTCCACGAACCAGTCTGTTGATGGGCACAGGCACCACAAGGTTTTACCCAAGGCAAACACTGTGGGTCCCACCCCACAGCTAGGGTTGTGGTTTAGCGATGGGACTTGGTAGACCAGGTTGGGTTTGGTGAGTGACCTTGGAGGTGTTTTCCAGCTGAGCTGAGGGGCTCCTGCGGCTTGAAAATGAGGGATTTAGAGCAATTTCAGGAAGCACTGTGTGGTTTTTGCTGTTCATGCGGGCAGTGCATTGCACCTGCAATATCAGCAGCCCTGGGAGGCTTTGTCCTGCGCGGGCACACCTGATATCCCTGGCAAATCCTGCTCAGCTCCTAAAATGCAAGAGCAGAGCATATTCACGGTCGGCTTGATTCTTCCTCATCATTAACTCGGACGAGGGCTGCTTAGGTAAGCACTGCGCACACCGAGCCACAAAATCCTGGGCAAGGGTTTTTTGGCTCTGCTTTCTTGGCTGCCTTTTAGAGCGGTCACGTTTTGGGAGGGGGGAGAGAAAAAAAGAAAATTACACACACACAGTGGTAATGCCCCTCTGGGCTGGATGAGCGACTTTGGAAACGCTCTCTGCTCAGTGGAGAGAGCCCTGCAATGCCAGTCCCACCTCATCTCGCTAATTTTATGCAAATATTACTGACGTGGTGAGAGCAACAGTTACAGGAGCAGGCCGACGATGCCAAAATGCTAACAGGTGTAGTCAGAGCATCCAACTGCAGCACCAGGCAGCTTTTTTTTGTTTGTTTGTTTCTTTTTTCCCGTTCTGCCTTGATGGTTTTTTCACGCCCTTTGCATTCATGTAAATAACCACGCGGGGTGCAGAGGGATAAACAAAAATCAGGCCTTTGCATACAATTGCTTACCGGGAAGAAGACCAAAGCAGAGAGCCTTGCAATGCCTGCCCCACGCACAGGAACAGGCGGATTTGCTGGGGCTGAGACCTAGCAGGGCTCCCGAGACTTGTGACACTCCCCGAGCACCGCTTCATTACACAGGTTCACAGCAGAGGGGCAAAGCTGAAGCTGGCTGTGAAAGGGATCCATTTATTGCTCAGCTCTGAAGCTTCCTGATGGGGATAATTAATTTTCCAATTCAGCTCCACCTGCGATGTCAGGACTTCTTCAGAAGGCAGCGCTGCAGCTGGGCTTGCTGCCTTTTCCCATTACCCAGCCACATCCACGGGTGTGGGAGCCCGTGGCCAGGCTCTGTGGGGTGGGCTGGAAGCTGGTGAATCAAATTAGGGTTAAAATTTGGTCTTGGCACCACAAAGCCATCTGTGACATCCCATGGGTGTGCTGACCTTGGTCCCCACTGCTGGTGGGAGCAGGTTCCTCCTGGAGGCAGGGGGTTCAGGCATCACGAGGCACAGCTCGCACACCAAAATACGCTCACGTGGCTTGCCCAGTAACTCTGACAGACAGCTGACTGTGTAGTAAAAACATGTAGTGGTTATCCTCCTGGATAATTCACAAGCTGAAATAAATTGTTTGCCGGAAACAGCTCCCCTTGTTCTTTTTATTGCATGTATCTCGTGTGTGTTGCCACGCTAAAAACAACACAAAAACTGAACTCCCTGCTTGTCCTCAGCACAGGCATCTCCTCAAAGTCTGAAGGAGAGGAGCTGTGAAGAGCCAGAGTGCTTTCAAAAGAGGAATGCTGTACGGAGGGAAGGAATTCAGCATTAATCAGGCATCCAGCAGATAGATCTTCTCTCTCGTGCTGGTTACGTTTTAAAATTTATGTGTTCTGGAAAAGGCAGGAATTTCTCCATAAAGCTGGAGCCAAACTATTAACCCAAACTGAAGGGGAAAGCTCAGCTGAGAAATATTTTCCTACCTGTCAAACCCCACAATACGTAGCGAGGCTGTTTCCACACTCCTGGTGCTGGGTTGTAGCTGTAACTTGTGTCTCAAGGGACCTACGACTATTTTATTTCCCAGCAGGGTTTAATTTTTAAATTCTCTGCCTTTACAGCTGGAGAATGAAGGGGGAAATGAATGTGCTCGTAAGCTGGGCAATGGGTGAAGGATCCCATCAAGGATTTTTGGACAAGGCCAGCCTTGCCTGTAGCTCCCCAGTCTCCAGTAAGGTTGCATTGGGGTGACCTCATCCAGCTGGTTTTTGGGAGCCCGCAGGCTCCCAAGGTCCACGGGTGCTGGGGCTCTGCCCTAGGTGGCCTCTCCTGGCTGAGGACACCACTTCTCCACGGGGACAGTCCCATGGACATCTGCTGGTGTGGGGTCTGGCCAAGCTCCCCCAGCATGTAGGATTTTGGGGGCAGAGCTGGGGTAAGGAAGGTCGATGAGGGGTCTAATGGAAATGTATATATATTTTTATATATAAAATTTTTTATTTTTTATTTTTATCACAGGCTGTTACTTTCTTTGATCTGCCTGCTGAAGCTGTGGCATCTCACTTTGGCACCAAAAAGGTGTTGTGGAGGCCTGTGCATGGGCTGGCCATCCCCATAGGATCACACACAGTGAACCCCCAGCTTTGGGCAGCAGCCCATCATCTGCACCGGGTTGTTGTGAAACCGCCGGTTTTATGGAGGCAATTATTGGAGCCCAGCTGGAGGTAATGACTAATGCTGCTGCTTAAGACCGAGAAATAACAGCTGTACTCTCTCTCAGCTGCTGTGAGCCCGGGTCTCTGAAGTCTTAAAAGCTGTTTGTTCGGGAACATCCACATTTTATTAGATTTTGACACAGATCGTGCCAGAGCCGGGGAATCACAGCGAAAACGTTCCTTTGGGCTGCCTCTGAAGCAGCCTCACGCGCTGTGGCAGCATCTCCCTTTGCTCCCTTACCACCAAACCCCTCCATTTAGTCGCACCCCAGCCCCTAACAGCATTACCACAGGGGCCACCAGCCTGGTGTGACAGCCAGCTTCTGATCAGCTCCTTTACCACGTTGTGCTGGGCTTCGGTGGAAGCAGAGAGGGAAAAGGGACAGCTGATGTCCACATCCTTGGCTTTCATCTTCCTCTCTCTCCAGAAGAGGTCAAAGCAATAAAAAATTCATTTGTTTATGTATATAATCAGCCCTGGGACTTGAGCGATGCAGCCAGGATGGTCAATTAAAGACCAACACCTGCGTAAATACAGCAAAGCCTGTGCCACTGCATCCACAGTGGATACAGCCAAAAAAAAGAACCAAATGGAGCAAAATCTACCCCAAAAGCAGGACTGGGAGACGTGTTCCCTTGCCTGCTGGAGCGGGGAGCAGATACAAGGCTGGGGAAGCGCTGTGGGGGAGATGCCACCAACAAACCACGGCACCATGGAGCAAAATCGTTCTTCAAAGGGGGAGCAGGGAGATAAGCTCACGGGTTTAGAGAAAGGTTGGACTTCCCTTCCCTGCCTCCCAGCCCGTGTGCTGGAGGGAGCTGGCCCCAGTGGGCTCCTGGTGGCCTCCATCACTTCCAACATGCAGAAGGGCAGCTGGCATTTTTGGGGAGGAAGGGGAACGCTCAGCAGCTCTGGCTAACACAGTGTGATCGTGAAGGTCTTCTCCAACCTAGATGATCCCAATTCTATATTCAGAGCCCTGTCGAGCCAATGCCACCTGCTGGAGAAAAATCTTGGAGACTGGGATTTATGGGAACATGTAAATTGGACTTTCATAGGCATCCGTACACCCAAAGCCCCTCTTTGGAGCTTGAAGAGCTGAGCACATGCCTGTGGGGTCTGGCTGGGAGCCACCATGGGGAAGGGGCTGGCTCACGGTTTCCTTTCCCCTGTTGGCCCATCTGACAGCTAATTATCATTCCAGAGGTAATTGCTGGGGAAGCAATTGGTGGCAGAGCCTTTCCCTGCCGGAGCAAAGCACCCACTTTCGGAAAAGCTCCTCTCCTGGGAGGGCATCTTGTGCTGGGTGTTTAGACGTGGAAATGGATTTTGACTGCTGCACCCGTGAGCTCAGCGGGGGCAGGCTGGGTTGCGAGTCGGCACGGTGTTTTATGGGGATATTTCACCTGAGCACCAGCTCGGGAAGGAGCCGAGCACTGCCTCGTTGTTTCAGCCTCGTTTTATCTCCGTGAGCTGTAAATCTGCCGCGCGCCACTGCAGCCCTGGGGTTGCGCTTGCAGGCACACGTTGCTCATCTAATAAGCTGCCTCCAAGGCTCCAGTGATGCTGCTACTTACCCCATAAATTCCACGATCTCCCCTCCACCGACCATTAATCTGCTTCATTTCCCGACAATTTTACACTCTTTTGATGAACTGTTTGTCTAACCATTTGAAGGAAACAATGTCAAAAGCAGCACCTTAGGCGTTCTCCCCACTAATGAAGAAAATCCATCACGGGGGGAGTTTATCTGTTTCTGTGCTGGATGCAAACAAAACGTCAGGCTAATTTACTCCCATTAATCTTAAAGGCCGTTGCCACGATGATATTCCTACGTCGGAGAGGATTATTTTTTTTCTTTTTCAGCATAAATATTTAAGCAAGTACCTAAAGCGGAAATAAATTGCTTTCTAAAAGGCAGATTATTTTTATATCCAGTGATTTAACAATAAATTTGTGTGGGGCTGGGCTTCCAGGGCTTGTGGCTCCTTTCCAGCTGGGTTTGCCTTTGCATGAGCAGGGCCTTCATCGTCTTCAGAGGGTGCTTTGCAGGATCTGCGTGGGGCAAAGGTGAAGGTGTTGGTGTCTTATGGTTTCAGCAGTGCTTTCCCCATGGTCCTACCTCCTTGCTGCTGCTCTCCTCCATCCCATCAAGGAGCCAGCAAGCACACGGGCATGCCCCGAAGGCTGTTCCCCATCCCAGCTCCCCTGGCTGAAGACAAGCAGGTGCCTGGTTAGGACCAGGGGTTGCTCCAATTGCCCCCGTGGGAGCCTCCTGCAATTTAGGCCCTACAAGCCCAGGGAAGGTGCCTTATCCTGGTATAAGAGCATAAATATAATAGGAAATGAACCGTGTTTGTAGCTGGAGTGAACGGGACCTGATGCTGGTGAAGGCTGATGGGGCTGGAGCAGTCCCCAGGGGTTTCTCTGAACCACTGCGGCCACATCTCGGGGCCTGTGCGTTCTGCTTTCTACATGGATAAATACACATGGGGAAAAAATAATATTTAGAGGAAACTAATGATCAATCTTAGCAAGATCATGGCTTTTGCTTCTCCCATTTATCCATACATGACTCTTTGTTAATTCAGGAGTGATTTTTATTCACGCGCATAAGGGTTTACAGATGCTCCCACATGTGTTCAGCCAGCAAACTATGTTCTGGGTTTCGTTGTGTGACATTATTATTCTCATTTACTCACATCAGGCAGTGCCTGGGCACGGCTGAGTTATTTTGGACCCAGGATGAGTCGTTTCATTCTCCAAGTTCACAGGCTAAGGCCACCTCTTGATAATGAATCCCCATGAGTTGGGCTTCGGTGGGGTTTCTTGGTGGAGATGGGATGGGGTGAAGGGTTTCCTTTATCACCTCAAGGGCAGGAGTGCAGCAAGATGCTGCCGGTGCTCCGGATGCTGAGGCACACACGATGTCCTGTGCCGACGCTTTCGGAGAGCACTCACACTGGCTGATTAATGTCACTCCAGCCTCACTTCATCTTCTCTTAAGCAAGAGGGAAAGGTAATTGCTTGCACTTATCAGCGTGGCTGTGGAAGTACCCCCTCGCAGGCTCTAAAACTGACAGACGGCCGAGATGGATGGCTCGGGGACAGCACAGGAGCCCGCTTCCCTGCCTCTCTGCAGGCACCCATGTGTCCTCCTGCTCGTTTTGCTCTCTGCCCTGACTCCTGAGGCCCAATTTAGCCAGGATGCTGCTGTGCGCTCTCACTGCCTGGCTGCTGGGGGTGTCAGCACTTGCAGAATGTGTTTTGCACCCAGTTGCCTTCTGCTGAGGTAACCCTGCATGTCTGTTAAGGGATTTTTTTATTTTTTTTTCTGCTAACCTTAGAGAAAGCTTCATGCAGACATCAGGCACACGTCACCTCTTCCTTGGGGAAGACAGAGCTCAGCTCTGGTGACTTGTTAGGAAGGTCTCCTCTGCTTTTCCCCACACCACCCCAGACTCTCTGCTTTTAATATTTTGGGAACAATGAAGGCATCATCAAAAAAAGCCCGATGCAAACCATGGGAAGATTGTCAGTGATTTCCCTCGGCCCTGAGCAGTGCCTCTCAGTGCTTGGCTAACCCTTCCCAGGCTCTCTGTCTGTTCAGCTGGTCAAAACTGCAGTTTTCAAAGGTGCTGGGGAGAAGAGGGGAGTGAAGGCACCCAAAATCTGGTGGACATCTGATGAAAATCCCATGCTGTGATTGTTGCATGATAAGCCTTGCTTAGTGCCTTTCTCAAGCATTTGTGGGATGTCTTTGGAGAAGGTCTCCTCGTCTTTCCTACAATCCCTTCTCCTTTTCCAGGACATCCCACCAATGGGGGGGTTAAATTAAAAAAAAAAAAAAACCTTTTGGAGCAGCAAGAACCCACCCGCAGCTCCACATCACAAAAACTGAGGACATGAGAGGCCCAGCCACCACCACGGGGTTCAGCGTGGCGTGCCCCTCACCGTCAGGTTGTGCTGCTGGAGGTACCGCAGCAGGACCTGCCCCCTTCTCTCCAGGGTCCGTATCAGAGGTCTCAGCCCCTCGGCGCCTCCCTGGCTGTCCCACAGCTCCCGGTCCACGTACAGCGACTCCAGCAGCCGGCGGCCCAAGCAGCCTGACCTCAGCACGGCCACGGCTGCCTCCGGGAAGCTGAAACAGATTCAGGATGGAGACTGCCATCAGCCACCCCCACCCGCTTCACCAGGACACGTGAAAACAGATGGGTTTTCTCTCTGCCTGGTTTCATCTCGCTGCAACTCCCAGCGGGTGTGCAGAGATCACCAAAGGCTCTGCAGGAGGGGAGGGATGTCCCACCAGGAGCGTGCGCCTTGCCCGCCTTACCTGTCTATGCCCTGCAGGAGCCTGAAGTTGAGCTTTGCCTCTGGCTGCTGCGGCCGGCCGGCGTTGTCGATGAACACGAGTTGGGACGGGGAGCTGCTCCGGACCTGCCGGTGGGGACGGGAAGGAGAAGCTCAGCTACCATGGGCAGTCACCAGCCCGGTGCTTTAGGCTGGGTGTTTGGGGTACTGAGTAACCCCGAGAGCCTCTGGGGGCCAGAAGCAGCCAGCACTTCCCAGAAACCTTAATTTTTGGCCATGTCCCTAGGACATGGGACAGGGCAAGAGGTCACAAGGGCTGGGGACGTACCAGGATGTGCACCAGGAGCAGCTCAGCTGGGTTTCGGCACTTCTCATGGAGCATCTCCTCCACGCAGGGCTCTGAGGGGTCGGGCTCGAACCCGCAGCAGTATCGGTCCAGGCGGTCGTGAACCTGTGGGAGATATTTTGGGGTCCTCAGCTGGGGCAGACAGCTGGGGTGGGCAGGTCCTGGGAATCCTCACATGGAGCTTTCCTTGCTCAGAGGAAAATAAAATGCTTTTAAGCATTTAAGCTAGGGGTGACTGTCCTCTGGAAGAAGTTGGGCCTGCAAGGACTGCTACATCCTGAAGGACTGAGCCTGCAAAGTCATCTGGGGGTCAAATAGGTGATGAAACACCAGAAGTTTCTTTTTTTTGTTGTTTTTTTTTGGCTGTTGATGGGAAAGCATTCATCAGGGGTAGTCTGTGATTGCTGAAGCTCTCAAGTAGGGCGCCAAAGAGCCTGACTAACTCTTGCGTCACGAAAAGAGAAGGAAGGGGGCTGGGGAGAGCCACGTGTGAGACTCCTGGGCTTGTGGAGCAGCCCCAAAAATGCCTGTGGCCATCACCACAGCGCCTCGGCTTCTGCATTCCCCAGCTGTCAGCAAAAAAGGCTCTGAAACACAGAGAGAAAGCAAACAGGAAAGTGTCCGTGTGCTTAAATGTTTGAACAAGGGAGGGGGGCAGCCACCCTCACAGCCTTCATTTTGGGGGAGTTGAGCCAATTTTCAGACCGAGCAGGTCCCAGGAAGGATGGGACGACCTCAGAAGGAGACAGGGATGCTGCTGCAGGGGTGAAGCCTGAGTGTGCTGGTGGTTTGGGCTCTTTTTAAGGCAAAGGATGAAGCCAGTAGCTACTCCCTTTCAACAGGGCTCTGCGTTTTACCCATGGTAAAGGAGACGTCTCTCTCTCCTGACACCTCAGGCCTATGGGACACAGGTGAACATAGGTTGTAGGGGACAGCCAGCAGCCTGAAACTCTCCTACTTGCAAACACTGTGTGTGTGTGATGTAAGGAGTGAATAATGCAGAAGAAGCCAAATTTTAAAACCCTTTAGAAGAAGATGATGAAGATCTCAATGCCTGGCTCAGGGCTGCACGGGAAGGCTCAAAGTTTGCGGCTTCCCACTCTCCTCAGTACATGCTGCAGGATGCTAGAGACATTATTTCATTACTACAGTATCCTGCTGGCTTCATGCCTCTTTATGTGATTTTTCCACATGGGAGGATCCCACTGAGTTATTGAGAAAAAGCCAGTGGATTGCTCCTTGATTTATTACTCCTCTGTTTTGGTCCTCTGCAGGAAAGTCTCCTTAAAACTGGATGCTTTTTTTCTCCTGGAGACGCAGCTTTTCCATTGCATTCAATGGTATTTTGGCCTGGGGGAGGGAAAGGGACTGGTTAATCTTCTCATTTGTTTGGCTGTTTCATCTAAAATATTTCCAAGCCCAACCATGACTGTGTCTCCTTTGCCAGCCATAGTCTGAGGTTATAAAGATTAATGGCCAGGCCTTGCCAAAAAAACAGAAAGAGTAATGAGAACACACATTTTAGTAGTATTTTTTTCTTCCTCCTTTTTTTTTTTTAAGTATATGTATTTATATATATAAAATTGTTGTTTCAGGTAGTTTCCCCTTGTCTAATAATGAAAGTTGCAGCCCTGAGGTACATAAACAGGCTTTTTTTTCTTTTTTTCTTTTTTTCTTTTTTTCTTTTTTTTCTTTTTTTTCTTTTTCTTTCTTTTTTTTCCTCTTTTTTTTTTTTTTTTTTTCCACAGAAACCCCTTTTTCCTCCTCAAGGTTACTCCCTAATAAATGATAACTGCCTGTGACGCTGCGGTAATCCCTTGCAGCAGCAGGCTATGTTTTTCCAGACAGATCAGCCTGTTAACCCTGAGGAGGAGGAGGAGGAGGAAAGCACTACCACACAGAGGGGTAGGGATGAAGACTCCCCACACCAGCAGCACGTCTCTGGAGTGACTGCATCAAAGCCATGGGGCTGGTGCAGGAGATGCTGCCTTCACCCTGTGCTGAGGAGATGAAGGAAAGTTGCCTGGTGGCAGGGATTTTTATTTATTTATTTTTCTTTTGTCAGAGAGACTTCGCCTGGGCTTGAAAGTTGAGGAATTCTTGAAATGTTGAGGGCTGAGCAGAAAAATTGAACCCTTTGCATTCACTCTTCTTTTCAGCAAGAGAAGCTCCAGCCTCCTCCCACTCCAACCTGCAGCTGAGCTTCACCAGCCTGGAGGCTGGCTCGAGGTCCTGAGGCACTTGGCAGTGCCATGGATCACCCACCAGACTTGAACATCTTCAGCCAGCAAAGAGCCACCACCTTTTGAATGATACAGACGAGGCTTCAGCTCCTCAGGCTTCTCTGATTTTCACCAATGATCCAGCTAAATGCAATCACCGAGATGTCCCAGAAGGTGCAAAAGTTACTCCAGCAGCCAAAAGCAGTAATTTTTGACTCATGTTTTGGCATGCTCTCCCAGGACAACACAGCCTACACAACTCACAGAAGAGAAAGAGGTGACAGAGGCGTGCACAGGAGGACGCCGCGTCCCACCAGGCAGCCTCCCTCACCTCAACCTTACCTGCAGGAGGAAGTCGAAGAGCGCCAGGCGGCCCCACTCGCCGTGCTGGATGCTCTTGCAGGGTGTCCCCACCACCACCGGGGCCCTGCCATGAGTCCTCAGCATCTCCTGGTACTGCAGCCACCCCATGGCGCAGGAGTTTTGGTCGTTGTTGGTGTCCTCCAGGTGCTGGACGTCGGGTGCCCACCAGATGATGGGCCTCGTAGCGCCGTTGGTGTAGCTGTAGGGCAGGATGGGGCTGGAGAAGCGGCGGGCCACGGCGGGCAGGCTCCTGTTCAGCCCCAAGACCCTGTCCAGGTGGAAAGCCACCACCTCGTAGAGGTCCCCAGGGCGCTTGATGAGCCCGCAGCGCCCATCCCTGCAGTCCCCCCCAGGACTGGGGGGCTGGGGGTCCCCTTCGGCATGCAGGCGGACACGCAGGACCTGCCCGTGGGCCGGCACACGGGTTTTGGAGACCACCTGCCCCTGGGCCAGCAGCTTCATCTTCTGAATGTCATCATCAGAGAGCCACGGCGGGGCCATCCCACCAAAACGCAGCCTGTCCCCATGCTGGGGGCCGCCCCGCCAACATGGCCGCTCCACACAAGGCGAAGGGGAACGGGTGCCCAGCTCCCGCAGCCGCCGGCTGTCCCCATGACGCCTCCTTGTCCCCCGGGAGGACAGCTTGTCCCCACACAGGGTGGTGGCTGTGTCCTGCCGAGGCCGAGGGGGTGGGGACGGTGATATGGGTGCTGGTGCCATGCGAAGGGACCGGGCCCGGCCGTGGTCCCCGGGTGGTGGTGGGGGCAGGTGGGTGAGCGCCAGCAGGGCCAGGGCCAGCAGGACCCCCAGGGCCAGCAGGGGAGGGTGCTTCAGCCCCGTCCTTCGCCACGGTCGCTGGGCCTGTGGTCAGAAAGGAGAAAGGAGAGTGTCACTGGTGTCAGAAAGGAGAAAGGAGAGTGTCACTGGTGTCACAGACACGTTGGCCAACATGTCTGCTTTGCCCTAAAGCCCTCCCTGGCATCATAGTGCTGGTTCTGCTCAAAGACCACCTCACGGGCTGTGACCTGCCTGGTGGCCAACGTATTTTATAATCTCTTTATAAGCTTTCCAGCCCAGCACCGCTCTCGTGCTTTACAGAGGCATTTCCAAGCAATTCGGCGATGAGGCTCAGGACAACGAGCAGGGAACAGGGCCTTGTTCCTCTTCGCTTTGCAATTATTTATTTTGGAAGCACAAGCACATCCACAGCGGACATAGCGGGGTGGTGTATTGCCAAGGAAGGGATAAGGAATTGTTTGTAAGAGGAAAAGATTGAAAAAGCAAGAGCTCAAACGCTCTGGGGGTGAGAGCCAGAGGCCAGAGTGACTTCCAGGAGGCAGCTCATGAGAATCACGGGACGGTCTGGGTTGGAAGGGGCCTTAAAGGATCACCCAACTCCAACCCCCTGCCATGGGCAGGGACACCTCCCACCAGCCCAGGCTGCCCAAAGTCCCATCCAGCCTGGCCTTGAACACCTCCAGGGATGGGGCATCCACAGCTTCTCTGGGCAGCCTGTGCCAGGAGAAATGTTTCATCTGCACCTCATCAGCTGATTGAGCACTGCCCAAAAACCTACGAGGGCCCAAGTGGGTTTTCCTTCAAGGTCTCAAGGACTGAGCAGATTTAAAGCAGCTTCCAAAAGCCTGTAATGGTGCATTTGGAGTGATTTAGCTTTATAGCTCTCATTTAATTGTTTCTCTCCCAGAAATACAGCACAGCACAGCAAAATGGAGCTGCTGGGAGGAACGCTTCGCTCACACTCAGCTTGTGCCAGCCTCCTCCTGTGCAGCTCCAGGTGTGTGTTAGACCCACATGGCAAAAATAGAGGGGTTTCCCAGAAATCTCACACCCATCTGAGTGTTTTTCAGAGCCCTGCCCAAAGCAACCCAAATAACAACACCTCTGAAGCTTTTTGGGTCCCTGAAACCAGACCTCGAGCTCTGCTGCCAACATTCATGAACACACTTGGGAACTCTTCCCCTTATTGTAATGGTGTGGAAAGCACTTGTCCAGGCACAGCAGCCGAGACTGGCTTTAATTAGCAGAACTCACACCCTTGGGGGAGCACGCAAGAGCCACGCGGGGAGCATGGTGAATACAGAGGGAAAACCCCTTTTTAATCCACAGCTGGAGAGCAACACTGGCCACGGGGAGCCAAGCGGATGGGAACAATTACAATTTATTTATTTTTTACGTCAAGGTGGTTTGCAGGGCGAGTGGTTGAAGCATCCTCAGTGCCTGGAACCACTTTGTCCCCTCTGTGGGCAGGCTCGGTTTGGTTACAGCCGGGGCTGAATCCTGCTCTTGGACGAGGGCCACCGCAGCCCTTTCCCTGCTCGGCTCGAGGAGCCTGGATTTCACTGCCACATCGACAATAATAAGGGGAAAAAAAAGTGCAAGTACAGCCTCTACGTTATTTCTGGCAGTCAATATTACAAACTTAATAATAATCTAGATGATATAACACTGCAGAAGTGGTGCTGTATTTATAAACCCAGGGTAAATCCTTTTCCAAAGAGACTTTCTCCGAGTCTAGGCTGTAAAAAAAATGCTGCACTTTAAGCTATGGCTTCAATTCAGCCTGAAATGAAAACCATACATACCGCTCTGCTTTGCCAGCTTGACAAACTGACAGTACAGCACGTCTTCTCTAGAAATTAGGTACATTTCCCAGCAGGCAAGCTGAAGAAAAACCCATAAAAAATGCTTCGGAGAGGTACGGCTTGCGCCAGGATGCCGAGGAGTAAACAATACATCTGCTCACTCCTCAGATGGACATACAGCACAGCCCGGGCTCCCGAGGGCATGGCCTGGCCACTCGGGGTGAGATTTTCTAAGTGTGGCTCAGAGGATTTTATCCTTGACACTTTGTTCCCGGGGCGCTTGAAGCTTGGCGGAATTTGAAGCAGAGGAGCCTGTTTCCAATTGCTTCGCAAAGTGCATCGAACTGGCTTTGTCAAGCGTGGAAGAAAAGAAAAACAAACCCGAAACTTCATTATCCAGGAATGTGAGGAACAGCCCTCAAACTCAAGAAGATGCCATAGAAATACGTGGCCTGTAAAACCGGGATCCATCCCTGCTCTCCTCTGGAGCCTGCCAGATAAACACAGAATCAAGTGGACAGCAGGCAACGCAGCCCACTGTGACCAATTTTAATAAAAGTTGCTTGAAAAGCCCCCAGAAGCCAGACCTGCTGCCAGGTGGTGCTGGGTCTGTCCCGCAGAGCCAGCAGAACCCCCAAGCTGACCCACTCAGCTCTTCCCACGAGCGTGTCCAAACCAAACCTGAGCACGACAAAGCTCAGTTGCCCGGGATGGGGCTTTGAAACTTGCTGTGCTCTGCTCCATCCGCTCGTGCAACATCTGCGCGCCCGCTCCCTTCCAACAGTGCTGCCTTTGTGCCGCGGGGACTGCGCGGAGGACGCTCCGGAGGAGGGCAGCAGCCTGCAGACCACATGCCGGGGTCCTTCGCTGCTAACCCCTCACACGCACAGCCTCTGCACGCCTGGCTTCCTTCTGCTGGAAAACAACGTGATTTTTTTCTTCCCCACCTTCTTCAGGAATCAGAAGTCCTGCTCCTCAGCAGCTCGCTTGCAGCTGCACTGAGGGACACGGCTGCTTTTCTGCTCACACGAATAATTTCCACAGGATGCCCAAAGCCAGGACAGTGACAGCAGCGAGGAGCCCAGGGGCTCCTCTCAAGTCCCCTTCCTCACAATGTCCCCCACCCTAAAAGCTTCTCCCTGTGTACTCCTGAGCCCCTCAACATCTTTGGCCCTGCATCTCCAGCGGGGTTGTGCTGCTTCCTCTCCCTCCTGCATCGCAGCAGCAAAGAGCAAAGGTGCTGGGAAGTGACATCTTATTTTACAGCGTGTTCTGGGCTACACGGGGATGAATACATTTAAATAAAAACAAGTTTTGTTCCCTTCTTGGTCTCGATGAGCTTACCGATCCTGTTGGTGAGTGCCTGAAGAACCACTAAAATGCTCTTACACATTTTTGGCACCTGATCTGGTCTTATTCCTTTTATTGGGGGTTACATTTGTCCTATATATGAGTTGGGGAGTGGGTTTTGATCCATTTATTTCCAGTCTTCTTCTTGAGCTGGCGCACCAGCCCCGGAGAAGAGGCACACGTGCTCAGTGCCCTGCGGGGGCTCTGCACGACTGGCTCCAGATTCCCTTGGACGCATTTTGGTGGAGGATGGACAAGTCGGCTGGCTCAGTCTCCCCTCTCTTGCTCTAAGGGTTTTTTTTTTTTCTTCCTGAAGAGCAGAGGAACGCATTCGTGGGATTCCACAGCTGCGGCCGGGAGGGGAGGGACAGCGGGGCCATTCATCCCCTTGGCTTTATTGAAAACAGAATTGTTCATTCGTGCCCATCCTCAGCTTCAGGAAGGTAACCGTTTCCCTAGGTTTAACCCGTTCCTTTAGTTCCTATGCAGGGAAAAAATAAAAATAAAAAGGGAAAGGAATCTGCTCCCTGCCTGTCGTTGTCTCCTGCATCCTGCTTTTCCTTCTCCCAGCCGACCCCACCGGGTGAATGATCGCAGCCCGGCTCTGGAGGGGCTTTGCCTTCGGGGAAGGCAAGCAGCCACGGGGTTACTGAGCCTTTGAAGGGGTAATTATGGCATTTGGCATCTCTGCGAGAGCATTAATAAAGCGCCGTCAGCCCCTCTTATGTGTGCTGCCTCGTACTGAGAGAGCAGCAGAGTAGCTGGAAATTACTCACCAGCGGATTTTGGAGCCAGAAGCAAGGAGGCATTTCCCTCACACAGCCTTCCCCCAGCCCGTTGCTGGCATTTGGTGTGTTTTCAGCTGGAGCTGGGGACACAGGGGAGCAGCCCCAAGCCCTGGCCTCGCCGTGCTTTAAAACCCAACAACACCCCCCAAAAAAAAACCACTTTTTGATGCTGGTAGGAAACTGGCATCATTAATCAGGGAACTCAGAGTAGCCCGTGCATGTGCTCTGCTGTGAGTCCTGCTGCTCACCAGCACCACTGGCCCCACAGCATGCACCAGCCCCCTGAGCCCCCCCAGCCATGCTCCCGGGACTTAAAGGCATTTCAGTGACACGTGTGGGTGACACCAGAACAGTTTTTGGCAGCGGCACCTCCCGTCTCGCCCAGCACGTGCATCTGCAGCCGCTGCCCGACACGGGTTTTTGCAGGGGTGGCAGAGCAGAGGTGGGTAAGGCACTGCTCGCTTCCTCAGCTTTTTAATTAACTGCTTTGAGATAATTAAATACACTTCCTTGATTGTTAACCATTCACTTCACCCATCCCTAGTGTTACAAAGGACAGATCCATGCTGGAGCCTCGCCTGCATGCTCCAGCCCCACGAGGGATCCCTCTGGACTTCTCCCATGGAGGCAGCTGGGGGATGGCCTCGCAACACATCCCATGGACCCAGCATCCCTTCCCAGCACCATCTCGAGGAGGAAAACCCCCAAATCATACCATGGCTCCCAGCAGCAGCCGATGTCCTGCTCCTCACGTGTAGCAGAGGTGGCACGCGGTCACCTCCCGGGCTGGGCACCAGCTCCCAGCAGCGCTTCCATAGAAAACCAGAACATCGCAAACCATAAAATGGAAATAAAAATTTTTTAAAAAGAGAGAGAAAAATAAAATAAAATAAATGAAAGGTTTTTTAAAAAGTCCAATCCATGCGTCTCCTCTCCCTGAGGCGCTGTCACCCCCGTGTCCCTCGGGGCTCGGGGCAGCCTCCGCGTGGGCTCCCCGCTCCCGGCGGGCGGACGCCCGGCCAACTTTGGCCGCCAGTTTTCCAACTCTGCAGCAGCCCAGACCCACCTCCCTGAGGCTGGGAAGGGGGGAGCAGGCATTTGAAGAGTCTCTTTTTCACAATAAAAGCCCTTCTTGCTGCCTTTTTCTTTTTTTTTTTTTTTTTTATAAATACAGAGGGCGAGTTCGATCCGGGAGGCAGAGGTGAAGGAGGCTGGAATGACACGTGCTCCTCCTGAGCTCTTGCTCTGGGACAAGCAGGGGACAGGCAGAGCCCCAGGGACCTCGTTGGTCCTGCTCCACCGCGGCTGGGAAAGCGAGCCCCAGGTCTGCTGATGGGTGCCCCAAAAAACGCCCTTCTGGGGTTTTTAACAGCGTTGAGCTGCTGCCTTTCAGTAGCAGTGGGAGGTGGCTCCTGCGTCCCCAAGCCTCTCTAGCCCGCTGACCACGCACAGCCCTGCGGTGACATTGCCCAGGACTGTGTGCTAGGTGCGAGAAATGGTTGCAGCGTGATGCTCTGCCCAGCATGGGCTTCTACCAGTCCCAGCTCCCCCACACGCCCTTGGCACGTCGAGTGCATTTATTTTCCCCTTTTTGTGTCTCCCAGAACCTTTTGTTGCCCCTCGAAACTCCCCCTAAGCAAATACACAGATGGAAGGTTATGTCCAAAGGCTGCTCGGCTTCAGGACACATCCCCCTGTGCCAGCCTCGGGTGGGAGGACTGCCTATCTCCCATTTCTGAGGCTTCTGCTTTCCTCTCCTGGTAATTCTGAAGTGAGCCAATTGATATGCAATTTTCTGTCAAAATGACTCCTGTTGGTGCAACAGCACCGTGCGCCTTGACTGACAGGCCAGGGGCTCCAGCTCCTCTCTCCGGCTTGCTTCTCCTCACAAATAACCCTTTAAAATGCACGCCTGACATCTGAGGAATTCGTCAGAAAGAGGCACGGATGGCTGCTGCTGGAGGCAGACTTCAGGGATCAGTGGCCAAACTGCCGGGATAAGGCCACAGAGCCTGCAAACAGATGCTCCGACCTCAGCACTTGGAAATTTCGATCTGATTCCCGCTCCCTCCTCCTTCCCCTGGAGAAGTTTGAATGGATTTCTGAGGCCCAAGCGCTGCCCAGATAAATCACTGCCTATTAGCCACTGATTACAAATGAGCTGCTCAGAAAGCCTTCGGACTTCTCCTTTTCCCCCTGCTCTCTCCTATATCTTCTGGTAATGGGCCTCCAGAGGTGATTGCTCATTCCTCCAGTTTGCGTTTTAGGTGAGGGATGGGATCTCTGCATCGCTTTTCAGACCGTGGCCTTGCTTTTGTGGGACAGACACAGTAATGCTTCAATTGAATTAGGGCTTTCTCTCCATTTTTTGATTTCTCAGGTGGACAAGCGGGTGTGCGGAGGCCGTGCCCAGGACCAAGCTGCTTCACTAGCACCTTATCACTGGAAACCATCCCTATGGCTTAATAACCTGAGCTGCCCCACACGTGGTGCCTGTGGGATTCCTCAGGATCAACGTGCAGTCCTCGAGCTCTCTGGGGCCACAAAAGCCTGCTCACACCTTCCCCAGGGGATATGGAGACGCTGCTGTTTTCTGGGGATGAAAGAAGAAAGAGAGAAAATGAGACAGAAGCAATCTGTTTCTTTTCCTGGAAGGAACTTACTGGCATATGCTTGAATTGGGTCCACAAAGAGGCTATATTGGCCATTTACATACCTCTGTGCTGTGCTCTGTTGCTGTGAGGATGGGCTGGGCTGGAAGGAAGCTTACACACGAACACGGGGAGACAGACACCCGGCACCGCAGCGGCACTTCGTCCTCACGCCCGCTGAACGCGGGGCCTGGCCGACATATGGGCTCATGAATCTTTCCTGACAGCCCTGCGGTGGCAGAAGCAGGGAGCGGAGCTTCCTGGTTATAAATCGGTCATGAATAAATTTAGGCTGGTAATTAGAAAGTTTCTGATAATCAGAGGCATGAAGTTCTGGAAGCTTCCGGATAGACCAGAGGGAGCTGGCTGGGAGCTTCTGCTGAAACAGGAGGGTGGGATATTGAAGAGGGAAGGCTTGGGGGTTTAGGCCTTTTGGCCAAAAGCTTTTTGGCTCCCCCAGGGAAGGAGATAGGAGCAGACCCAGCTGAGGTTTGCCCATGTTGCTTTCTGTGTCATGTTTCTCTCAGGTTTGTCCCATACTTCAGGACAGGTTGCCTCTGAGGTCTGTGAGGAATTTTCTTTTACTCCACTCATTGAGAGGGAGCATCTCTCCTCCCTCTTTATTATGTATCAGTGCTGCTCTCCTAATCACTCAAAACAGCCCTGGAGCCAAGCTCCTTGCAGGCTTTGAGACAAAATGGGTCCCAAATGAGTCTAAAGTCGATACTGAAGGTGATGGACAGGGGGGCATCCTCTAGCACCCCTATTCCTGCTGTGGTAGGTGCTGTGGAGCTGGAAAAGAAAGGCCCAAACTCATGTCCACTCCCTTCACAGCGTCTCCCTCCGGCACCCTCAGGGCCAGATACCTGCTTCCCACTAAAGCAGAAGCGTGGTGTTGTTAGCAGCTGCCAGACACCACCGCTGAGCAAACACATCTTCCCCTCCAAGGTCACATTCAGGTGGCGGGGAGCCGAGGCGGCCTGCTCCCATTTGGGACGAGGACCTGCATGCCCTGCAAAGAGCAGCAGCTTGCCAGCCTCCCCCCGGACCTTGAAAAATGCTCCAAGCAAGCAGAGCAAAAACCATGCCACGTTCAGCTAGTCAGGCTTAATTTGCTTCATTATGCCATAAACTCTCGGATTTTTTTCATTACCCACAGAGACTTGCAGGATGAGCTAAGGCTCACATGTGCAATGTGAATGAGATAAGCAGTAAAAATAAAAGATAAACAACCAAAGGAAAAAAGTAATCATTTAAAGTTATTCAGGGGCTCCAGGGAGGAAGAGAAGGAGGAAGGAAAGGAAAAAGCCCACAAGCCTATTTCCCATCCTTTCTTTAGATCACCTTCATGCAGCATCTGAACTGCAGTAATACAGATACCAAGCTCTTTTTTTTTTTTTTTTTTTTTTTTTTTTTTTTTTTTCTATTGCTTCTTGTATTTGATGGCTTTTGTAAACACGAGGTTCAAACAGTGACTCTAGGAAGTCTCAGCTGCTGAGTTATTGTGAAAAGTACTCAGAAGTTGCGCCCTCCCGCTGGGTGTCTGTAGGTAAATCTCCAGCCGATCTGAAAGCTGCTCTCCTTTCGTGCTGTTTAAATATGAACACTGCTACTTTTCAAAAAAAAATCCACCTTTCCATCAGAGCAGAGCCCTCCATGAGAGCTGCCCATACAACCCCCACCAGCTGTGTGGGGCCCAGCACGAGCAGGAGGGCCACCACCAGTAGGCCGGGCCTCTCCTCGCCACGCACAGGAGCAGCACTCCCAGAACAAGGCAAAATGACCCCAAAGTTTCAGCAGGATACCCCCGGTTTCTCCAGACAAAGATTAAGATGTAGGTAATTGCAAGATCAAATAATTTGAAAATGTGATGGTCAACGTGTCTAAGCAAGCCTTGACCGGAGGTCAGTTTGGACACCAGCACTTGAAAAGGAGGTTCAGTAAATCCAGAGATCCCTCTTCCCAGTGCATTTCATCTTTAATAAAACCGAAATACATTCAGATGCTAAGCACGGGAGCAAGAGAAGTGTTTAGACAAGAAACAAGAGCACTTAAATATAGATTTATTTTGGTTTTGTCTTTGAAGATATCTGCATAACCAGCAAATCACTCGGCCCAGAACTTTGGTTGGTTCACGGAAGCATTAGTGTAGGTTTTACACCTTTTAGCTGTAGGTTATGCCAATGAGCCCAATCCTGCTCCTATCATTGCTCACATTGCCCAGACTTTGCAGGGAAAAAAAAAAAAGATTAATACTGTTTTTTTCCTGCTGTTGATATCAGTTCAGGAAAATTTACCTGCTGATCTCAGGAGGAAACTGGGGCAGAGCATATTCCCCTCTGCTCCCAGTAAGTCCCATACACGCTCTGTGTGAAATCAGGTAAGAAAATAAACACCAGGACTTCACCTTCAGCTGTTTCTGAACACCGGATCCTGTTTCTTTACACTCAGCTCCACAAAGTGAATTAAAGAAGTATATCCTGATGGGCAAACTACATCTTAGTCAACTAGGAACACAAAATTAAGATACAGATAAAGCAAACCCATTGTTTTGAAATATTTGTGCCATCACCTCTGTTTGGCAGCGTTCCCTCACTGAAGGGCAGCAGTTGTCTGGTTCGGGTAAGCCTCAGGAATATAGTAGTGAAGAGCTAACATTGCCATCATGTGGTAAGCATTAGCAACAAAATGATACTTTGCATTTTTTCTATATCCAAGTATCTTTAAAAAAATCAAAAATAAAAACCAGACAAAGCAGCGCAGACGGCACAGCACCCGTTGTTTGGAAAGCAGGTAGACTACTGACATGATGCAAAGCCCCAAAAAGTTTCAGAAAGGTTTTGTGAGTTGTGAGGACCACCACTTGCTGCTGATGCACAGCACACTGTCTGAAACACAGCAGTTACCAAAAACTGGTGAATTCTGTTGTTTCTCTGTCCCCCTTTCTCCTAAGAGTAAAAAATGATGTTTCCACAGAAGCAAGTGAGGAGAGTCATGGTGTTACAGAACCAAGTTTCTTCCAGGGCATGTAAAGTGGTATAGGGGGGAACGGACACAGTGGACAAATTCCTTGGAAGCCAGCACTTCCAAAATGGGCAAGGATGATAGGAAAAATCACTTGTGAATTGGTTATGAGTGATATGCCTTTCAAATTAATCTGAAGCTTGAGTTTCAGAGTAGGTGGATTTAATCACTTTGAAATCCAGTGTAACTCAAAATCTCCAGGTGCTTGAACACAGCGATCATTCTCAATTTTAATCTCAATTTGCATCATTTCTTAGGCTTTTCTTCCTTAGCTATAGCCATTCATTATCAACCATGTGCTTGAACTCAATTTCCACAGCTTATAAATAGCTCAAGACAACATAAAGTGCTTGAGCAAGCAGATGCCCAATTTTGGCTTAAATAAGCAACATTAGGCACATAACTTTGAAGCATACATTTTTAGAAGCATATGCTTGTACTCATATATTGTTAAATATACTGATGTATTTGGTAATATACTTGAAGGTCTTACAACCTTCATTTTAATATTTTCCCTCTTCAATGTTATGACAGTAAAAATAATTTGCTTTTCGACTACAAGAGATCTCAGACTTCTACCATTTCTTCATTCAACACGAAGAAAATCCATCCTCTCAACAAACTGCACACAAGAAAACATATGGAAGAAACGCATGCTGACATTTAGATGTAGACTTCTTAAAGCATAAAGACTCAACCCATCATTACAGTGTTTCAAATTAATTAGTTTTTAGGTCATGCCCCTTTTTGCTTATTGGTTTTGATTAAAAAGTAGTGATTATGTGCTGCATAGTTTAAGGAACTGTAATTAGGGCCAGGTATAAGGTATTGATGTAAGCTATCAACTTCAAACATTCTGAAAAGCAAGCATGGTAAAGGAAGTCACCAATTTTTGTCTTGTTAATATACCTCTCATTATTACGACTGTACTTACAACTTATATGCTTTTAGACTGCTGGGGTATGGAAGTATCCCAAGAAACTGCTTCTACAAAGTTTTTGGTTGTGGGATGTGTTTTTTTAAGTAGTTAAGAACAGCAATTTTTTAGTCTCTCAAGCACTGACATACCTGCATTCTAACCAGAAGATGCATTTCCAGTTGGCCTGAAATTATACAGAAAAATGGGTTTAATTGATCATTTCTCACACCAAGGACTGTGCTCGATGTTTTGTTTATCCAATAGCAGATTACTTTAAAATGTCTAAGGACCTGAGCTATTTTGAATACCAAAGTAGCAAATATTTCAAACAGTATTGAGTACAGAGTACTGAGCACAGTCTGTATGGTCAACACGACGTGACAAAAACATTCCTGCGTGCTTCAGAGAAACCCTTGAGCCCAACCCTTGGGACATTAATAAACGAGACAGACAATTCTTGGTCAGGAGCAAAATGAACTTATGTTTACAATTTAGATCCATTTGTCATTTCTGAAGAATCAGAACATGGACACAAAGTAAAACATAACTAGAAGCTCATTTTATTTCTCTTTCTTCACTGTCTTCTTGACTTTTTTAGAAGTCTTCATCTGGAGCTTCCTGATTTCATGCTTAATGATCCTGTTTCTCTGTAAGAACAAACAAAAATACCATTAATCAAAATGAAGACTCTAGCAGTTCAAAAGTATTATTCCTTGATTTCAATTCTGATCTTTCATGTTCTGCCCTTTCTGATGATCACCCTTTGCTAACCTGATTATATTTTAATTACGTTAAAAGATTTAACGTGTGTTACATCCTAAATGTCAATTGCTACCTAAAACTGTTCTACAAAGTGGCCAACATCACTGGCTGGCAGCTTGGGCATCCCGATATCCCATGAGTGAGGAGTTTGTTACAGAATGAAGTATTATCTGTGGCCAATCAAGAATATTCTATTTCATCTCCTTCCTCAGCTGTAACCAGGAACACTGATGCACAGATCATGTGAACTCAGCTTTGATCAGTGACTGAACTGGTGGCCAAAGAGGCATCGGAATTCAAGGCACTCACATGCTTTGTGCCAACCAACTATAAAAGCAAGGCTACTGACATCTGTGTATGACTATAAAGTGAAGCCTACAAGCAGAAACCCTGTAAGGAAACCACACTCAAGCACTTACCATTTTCTTTGCTTTCATAACCTTGTAACGATCGAAGTCGGTCATTTTGGCTTTCTGTTTGGAAAAAAACAAAAAAAACATGAGGCTCTGATACACACATGCATAAGTTATAAAAGTCAGAATTTCATAACATTCCACAAGTAACTCTGAGCATCTGCAAACGAGGTCTAGCTACACACCTACCAGGAGTTCACTACAGGCCTTCACTGGGAAGCGAGGATGTGAAACTACAAGTTGTGATCACTGAACAAAACAAACCTTTACAATAAAACTACAAGAAATTAAAGCTGATGGAGATTTTAATCTACACCTTAACTTTTTTTTTAATCTTAGCAACAGAAAATACATAATTTATCAGATCACACCTAATTTTCACGAGTAGAAGCAGTACAAAGTACATTACTCATCCAGTCAAATTCCGTACCTTTTCCCTGGCTTCAATCTTCTTTGCCCATCTTGTTGCTGCCCATTTTTCATTTATATTTTCCTTCTCCCAGGCACGTCGCACACACTTCTGACGAGCACTGCATTACAACAGTCACAGAGTTATATTCACAGTCTTTCCAAAAAAAGAATCTCTAAAGCTAGTCCACCAAATTTCACCCAAGATCATCCCTCTACATTCCTTCAGATCAAAGGCCTAGTTTAAGCCAATGCCACATAACTCTCTGTGGCCTGATTAATATTTTATGCAACTGCTTTGCTAGAACTAAGCATATAAGTGATTTCAAGAGGCATATTAACACTCCTATCAACTCTTGTATCAGATCACGTAATTCAGGCGTGAAGCCGAGAGCATGTTGCACACAAAACAGACACTCACCTGTGCGGGAACTTGATCACGAAGTCAGTCAGCTGCATGCACTTGAAGGGCATGGCCTGCCTCCTGACACCGCTGCAGGGGCCATCGACCAGGGCCTGGAAAGAAGGAGAAGATGTTTGGTTTTAATCTTGTAACTTATTTTTTTTTAAGCTTTTCCAGGATCAAGCATTTATTTTCAGCACACGTAAGTGCCACTTAGGAAGAACTTCTTTACGGAAAGGGTTGTTGGGCATTGGAACAGGCTGCCCAGGAAGTGGATGGAGTCACCATCCCTGGAGGTCTTTAGGAGACGTTTAGATGCAGAGCTCAGTGCTGTGGGTTAGCGGAGGGCTGGTTAGTGTCAGGTCAGAGGTTGGGCTCGGTGATCTCGGAGGTCTCCTCCAACCTGGGTGATTTTGTGCATTTTTCAGCTTTACTGCCCATCAGCCACGTGCTCTGAGGCCCCACACGGGGCGGCGCTCACCCTGGCAGCCCCAACACGTGCTCCTTCCCCTCTCATCCCCACTAACCGCTCCATGCCTTATTTTTTTCACCATTTTCTCATTTCCCTGACCCCCCTCCCCAGGACCACTCTCCGACCACCCCCAGCACTCCGACAGCCGGCCGGATCCCCCCCCCTCACCCTATTCTGGTCGATGACATCCACGATGGCCACCAGCTTGCCGGCGTGCGGCCCGAAGGCGACGAAGGCGACGCGCCCGATCTCCACAAAGCGCTTGAACACCTGAGGGAATGAAGAGAAAGGCGGGGGTGGGGGGCAGCCGTTAGTCACCGTTTAACGACACCCCTCAACCCCCACACCCCCCCAACGGCCCCCCCGTGCCTCACAGCCCCCTCCCGGTCCCCTCCCGGCCCCCACGGCGGCGGCTGAGGCGCGGGGAAGCCCCGAAGCCGCTGCTCCCCGGGCCGGGCCCCGGCGCCGCCCGCCCGTACCATGATGGCGGCCGCGGGCAGAAAGGAAGAGGCGGGCTCGGAGCCGCCGGATGCCGCCCTCACGGCGGAGGGGGCACTGCGCATGCGCGCCGCCCGCCCGCCTCACACTGCAGGCGGGGGGCGTGGCTAAGTGTGAGGGGGCGTGGCTAAGTGCTAGGGGGCGTGGCTAAGGGCGCGCCGGCGCGCCGGCGCGAGGCGGCGCGGGAAATGGGGGCTGCGCTACCTGCCTTGGGTTATAGGGCAAAGGGGAGGTTAGGGGTAGGACCCCCTGAGGGGTGGCACCGATGGCAGGGTGATGCTGCAGGGACGCAGCACAGCCAGGGGACGTGCTCGTGCTGTGCTAGAGGCTGATCTGGTTGGGTTTGAGCTCCGGAGGAGATATCAGAGATGTGAGAGATATCAAAGTGCAATTGAATGTGTCCCCCCAAGACCCCTAGATGAAGTGACCCTGCTCTTCGGAAGGCAGAGCGCTTCAATGAAGGCGTATCTTAACAAAAAATATATACCAAAATTGTCCATGTTTTCATATCGTAGTGCAGAGCTGAGCCCGAATTTGGAAGAACGGGTTCATGGCGGTACACACTGCCGTACCCTAGGCACAAAATGAACTTGTTGGTAGGGGTGCGTGTTCAGGACAACCTCCTAGGCTAAAAGCAGCTTTACGCTTCAGCTTAGTGGCACCTGGTGGCAAAGTTACTGCTTTTCTTTTTAATAAATAAATAAATAACTAAAAGGAGTGTTCCAGTGTCTGCATTATATCCGCTGAGGTACAGAGGCGCACGCACAGCTCCTTACACGAAATGGATCACCTGCCCTGTGCTGCTAACAGTGGACCACTTCCTACTGCACGTGAAAGAAGGCATTTTTGGCAAGTCGGTGCCACAGATGCACAACTGTGCTGCCTGGAGGATGCATTCGTTCTCTTCTTGGACCTTGGCACCCCCAGAGACAAGCACTCTGGGCTGCCCTTACTTTCTCCACATGTCTTACCACGTTTCCTAGAGAGTGAAGATACAAGGGCACACTCGGTGATCCTGCAGAACAGGTCTTCCCCAGCTTGACGGCGTTGAAGCAGTGCTGTGGATGTGGTGAATGAGGTGGAGAGGTGTCCTGAGGCGTGACCAGCCCAAGAGCATCCAAAGATTTTGGCCAAAAATGTTTGCTGTAAGGAGAGTTTTCAGAACAGTAAAGCATAAGCACAACATACGGCAGATCGCAGATGGCAAATCGGTCTGACCTGCATTCCATGAGGTCTTCTGTCAACAGTGGAAATAAATATCCCAATTGGGCTGTAGGAAGCGTGAGCTGTCTAAAGGTGCAGTGTTTATGGCGTATATGATGTTGTTTGTACAGTAAAATAGAGCAGGTAAAAAAAAAATGCATTAATTGATGTATTTATTATGCAAGTGCCTGGGGAACTGATCATAAAAACATTAAAGAGCACTTAACTCCATCAGGGATGTTTGAAAGTCCCATCTAGAATACCATTACAACAAGATTTCACTGTGTGCTTTATGATAGTGATACATTACCGCCTGTATTAATCCCGTTATTTTTGCTCTGGGTCGAGGCAGTAGGTAATGGCTTTTGGATTCTTCTCTTCTGTAGTGATCTGGAAAAATCCTTCTCCTCATTTGGTGCAACAAACCTGCTGGGATTTAGTAATTGGAAGGAAGGGAGGTTACCTAAAATCTTGCTCTTTTTAATGATCTCTGCTTGTTTGACGGCAGAGAGACTCAAATGCCAGTGGTGATTGCACTGATGACTTGTTGAGTACGTGAGGGCTGCATCTGCTCTGCGTAACTCCAACCTGCACGGGTGCGTTCCTGCACCTGTCCGGATCACAAACACATAGAAGAGGCATCACAGAAAACACCAAAGTTGGGCTGTGCCCGGACACCAAGCAATGAAAACAATTCAAGAGCAAAAATGCAGCGGAGTCAAAAATCACAAAGTCAGATTTTGTGTTTCTTATTGCACAGAAGAAAAACATAAAGTACAGGCAAGCACAATTTGTGATATATTTATCTTCATTTCCATTCAACTGAACATAAATTGGTACTGAAATAATTGAATAATAATTGAAAAAAAAATAAGAACTCCCTAAATTGGGATATACTTGACTATTACACTCGGTGATTTTCTTTTTCTGTTCTCTTGACTGCTTTTCTCCTCCATCAATGCTGAATTATGCCATGCACTACCAGTTACTGCTTTCTTTTGCAACGTTTGCATGTTGCTTTAGGAGAAGTTTCTCACTTTTCCCCCTTCAGAAATGTCTCCAGGGGTATTTCCTCTCTCAGCTGTTTCTTCTGGTGGATTAATTTTTTGGGGCTTGCTTAAAGTTCTGCTTCACATTACACATTCCTGTCCCTATTCCCAACACTTGAGGATTTTTTTTTGTAATCAATTTGTCTTCATCTACTGCCTGTGATAATTAGGAAGTGCCTCTGAAGCAAGCTCTGAAAATTGCTATTGTCAGAGTCTTCCCAGTCGCTCTAATAACTTGTCTAGCAGGATGTGAAAATACCGGGACTGATAAAAGATGGAAAAATGTCCAGTTGGCTTAGCTTTTCACCATTTAATTTTATTAACCTTTGTAAGCAAGCAGTAAAGAGTACAAAAGATACACGAGCTGGAGTTTGTACATGCTTGTAAACACTGTTCACTTCACTGGCTCCCCACGGCACCTGTTCACTTCCAGGTGACCGGGTGTTACACCCCATGATCGGGTTCTGACTCGTGCTCGGGGCGGATTTAGGTAGGGTGACCAGCCCCACTGCTCCGCCACTCCTCCAGACGTAGCCACCACAGCCAAAGACAGCCAAGCTGGCCGTGTCTGAGCAATTTTTTATTTATTTTTTTTTTGATCGTGGTGCTGGCTGAGAAGAAGCTGCAAGCTACAGTGGTGCTGAAGTTCAACCTTGTCAGCTTTCCCAGCTAAAACCGGTAGGAGACACAAGGCTGAGTTCTCAATCAGGTGGCTGTCATACTGATACAGTAAGGGCATATAAGAAGGCTGAATTCTGAGCGTCTCACAACCAAATCAACACTGGAAATACTTGAAGTCGGGATAGAAAGCAGCCAATATGCCATTGGAATTCATAATTCGATGTTAATTTGAATTTTGAGTGTATGCATCAGCACATAAGATCTCTTACATGCAAAAATCTGTGTGGAAGCTGCAACCCGTAAGTGGGCCAGTTACCAATAGATGCTGAGTACAGCAACCTCCTTTTAGTTTACACTTCTTCACGCTGAAAATTTCAGTGCAAGAAAGGGGTAGCCATACCTTCAGAGAAGCAGAGATGCAAGGGTAAATACACGAAGAGGGGAGCAATCCTGGAGAGGAAGGAAAAGGAGGAATGTATCAAAATGTTTGGCAGCGGCTGTTTGTAGGATAGTTGGGGGAATATGGTGGGTGAACGCAGCTCCGTGTAGGTAGTGAACCTGGGCAAAAGGAGGTTGTAGAAGGACAGAAGAGAAGTGGAGATGCTTTTTCTCTTCCTGCAGGTCCTGAACAGCACAACAACCTCTTCCTTGCCAGCTCCAAAGCCCTTCAGATACAGTTTCTCCCTCACAGCTTCACAGATGATGTCAAGGCAGTGTTAAGAGGAATGAATAAAAACAGAATAAAAACATTGTGCCAGTGGAAGAGATGGCAGATGACACAGGAGTCATTTCTGAGGCTTTGTTCAGAAGCCAAAGCTACACAAAAGTCAGAGAGAGGAAAGAGGCACTGCCCGTGAAGGACCAGCAGGCAAAATTGTGGTGGAAACAGCATGGAAGGGCTGGTGAAGGCACTACGGCGGAGGGCAGCAGCTGGGACTGCAGCTACACGTTCCTGAACCCGCTACACAAAGGGAGCTCTGCTGGCCTACAGCTTGGCTCCCAATCCTCTTGGCCGGGAATGAAGGGCTTAAATTTTGGCGTACTCATGCTAATGCTTCAGAAGATCCAAGGCAGACAAAATGATACGTACGTGACAAGCTGGTACAGACTGCAACTGAGAGCACAGGACACGGGAAATACAAGGCAGCAGGAGGAACTACAAGAAATGTTTCTGTTGAGGATATTAGAGAAAAAAAGACACTAAAAACACTCCAGGTTTCTGGAGGTAACTGTGATGCATTTAAATTAGGTTTCATTACTGAAGCCTGAAAAGATTTTGTTCCACCTTCAAAGCAAACCTTAAGTGCAGTAACAGAGGCATTCTGAGGTCTCAGTGGTACCAAAAATATAGCTCAGCTTTAACATGGACTTGGCAGATGTTGGCAATTTACTACACCTTCATGTGGCAGGGCTCAATCGGTTTGGAATAGCAATAAAAACAACTCTGTCCCAGCTGTGCTGTTCCCCTCGGTCTGTGATTACCCAGCCTTTGTTCCAGTTTCAGAAGCTGGATTGTTCGGGGGATTTGTGTCAGCACTACACAAGAACAGCCACTACATTCTCTTCTCCCACAGTTTTCACTGGCTCACTCTTCAGTTTTATCTTAAACAACTGCCATCGTTGATCCAATACATCCCCGTCTGATTTTACCTGTTAGCACAGAGTTAATGGACAAAAATTCAGACAGACCTGACAAGAAGAGGCTATTTAAACCTCAACAAGCAAAGTGGCATAGCTGCCCTTGCTTTATCTGCCTCGCACTGGACAAACTAGTTTTACAGAAACAACTGCCAAAACATTTCAAAAGCACTCCAGTTCGCCATATCACAGATTCCTGAGTGCCTTTTGTCTCCTTTATTTACGCCTCTGGTCTTTTCAGGGCTTGTTGCCTGTCTTAACCTCTCCCTGGGTTCTTCAACAACAAAGTCCTACAGAACTTCACGGCACGGAAGATTCTTCTTTCAGCCTGCAGTCAAGTTCACTCATTCTGGAGTAAACACGTATTCCACACGACTGATGTCCTTCCGATTACGTGACACGATACACACGTAAACAAGGAAGAGAAGACACAACAGTGCCGTAGCTGTGAGGAGGATGAGGAGCCCAGCAAACAAAGGAGGTTTCAGAGGTAGCTGGATCATCTTGCTTTCTGCTGGAATCATGTTTGTGAGGCTCAGCATGTAGCCGAGTGACCAGGTTATGCTGCTGTTACCAACCTGAAATACAGATAAAAGAGTCCCAGTCCCGTTAAATGTTCAAAGAGAGGTTCCAAAAGCTTAACGTCTCCTGCTGGCAACTGTCTTTTAAGTTATCAGAGAAAAAAATAATAATAGTGGGGTGTATGAAGAAATATAGAACCATTTTAGATTAGCATTTTCTGGAACTGAAAAAAAAAAAAGTAATGATCACTGGGCTAAAGACATGAGACACAGGTATGAGATGGACTGGAGCAAGGTTGTGTGATACGTAAGCAGGTGGCCAATTATGGGATGTTCTGTGCATGAAACACGTCAGAACTATTGTGTTAATTTCTAGGATTAGCAGCCATCTCAGCCAAATCCTAGGATGTTATTTAATTCAAACAAATAAAAATAATAAATAATTATTAAAAAGAAAAGAGTCCAACTGACATGGACAAAGAGGAGGCCTGAGTAAGGTTAATGTCTTGAATGAACTGTTTTAACCAGTCAGCTACTGGTTGTAGGAAGGAGACCATAAGGGCCTATAACATTAGCTCATTTCTGTAGTGATGTGTACCCCAATACCTTTTGTTTAACTGATATTGAGAAAGCTACAGCAACAGGAACTAAAATATGACTGAGAAAAGCAGTGAAATGGGCTGAGGTAATTCCTCATTGCTAGGAGAGGGGAAAAAACTCTCATTATGGGGTTCAGGACTTCTGCAAATCATCTAGTTCTACATTTGGCCCAGAGCTTAGCATTGGTTAAGATTCTTTCATTGATTTGTGTTCACTAACTAAAAGCAAATACACTTTTAGCAAAGACCAAAAAGCTCTCCATGCTTCTCAATATATTCTCTTAGAGGCAAGTACTTTACCATCTCTGGGATATCTTAGTTTTAATCTTACTATTTTCAGTTCTTTGAGGGGCAGCCCTGATTCAGAGGATGCAGTCTTGCCTCTTGGAGATTCATGATTTCCCTCATGCAAATTGTGGGTAACAGAAGCGTTCATTTCAGATAAGCCCTTTGGGTTTTCCTTTTGCTCAGTATTTTTACAGTCTTGGCAAAATACAGCAAAATACTGCCGTGTTTGGCTGCTCCCACTTGCTGGGGGCAACAAAAGATGTGTAAAAAAGATTACAAACCCACCCTTCTCCAGGTCCAGATTAAGATCCCAAAGTAAGCTTCGCTGATTTCCTGGCAGAAGGGCTAAACGTTGAACACCCCTCCAGAGGACCAAATAAGTCTAGATAATCCTATTTAATTCTTCGGTACGCCAATAATAGAGTGTGACTGTTCAGAAAGCACTGCTTGTGATTTCTCGGTAACAGCTTGTCAGCATAGCCTGCATTTAAGAGCCTCCTACGTGAAAATCCACAACCATTCATTTGTCGTTTTCACGTGCCAGTGCTGAGGCATCTCCAGACTGTATGGAGATCAAGAGGCAGCCTGGGAGAGGGTTTTACCAGAATGCTCTGTACAGCAGCAGAGGGGAAAGGATGGAGTCCCAGAGCACTGCAGGGACCACGCTTCCTGATGTAGCAGCCAAATTTACCCAGTGGCCACACCTTCTGATTTGGAAGGAAGGATTTCTCAGAGGTAGCTTTGGAATGGATGTATACTACTTCACCCCAAATACTTCATTTTTTTGTTTTTTTTTAGGAGGAAAATTGGAGGTCAGGGAAGAGAGAAACGTGGGAGTTCCCCTGTTCGGCTCGGCAGCGTTAGCTCACTGACCTTGACTGGAGAGGTGTTTCAGGCCTTGAGCAAGCCAGTACTTTAACAAACTGGGGCAAGGTTGAAAACAGTATTATTCGACCCATTCTTAAAGCTTTTTAAAAGAATGTAGCCAGCATCACCAAGTAACGTTGCAACCTCTGAAACCACGCTGAAATTGGTACCGAGGCTCAAGAAGTGGCTTTGTTTTATGCCAAACATTTGACAACTGTTTATAAATGCTGTTTACAGCCATTATATTTTTGTAGCTGCTGCATCTTCGGTCTTCTTCTAAACATTTTTTAGATTAAAGTAACCATAAGAGGACATGATTATTACTCACCTCCTTTTGAAAATGTATCTGTGCCCAATTTCCTTCATCAAAGTTGTAGCCATGTATGAGCAAGTAGTAAATGAAATTGGCTGAAAAACAGTAGGATCTAGCATATGTTTCTTCAAATTTAGGAAGCATGAATTGGAGCTGAAAGCAAAAGGGGTTTGTTTAAACATGTAAATTGTGAAACATAAATACTTTGGGGTTTTTATAAATAAGAATACTTTGGATTCTAACTCAAATTTATTTGCGTTGTTCAAAAACAGCAAGTAAAACCGTGGGCAACTAGACATAAAGATTTAGTGTGCAAAGACCCTGACAGTGACATAGCTTATGTGGTGGAAAAATAAAATAGAATAAAATAAACATAAACTACAGATAAAAGATTGAGGATGTTATGGTTCCTAAATTTTCCATGTCATCTTTACAGCGTGGTTAAAACTGTGGTAGTAAACTGCAGCCACAAATCTCTTAAAGAGGATCACAGATGGAGTGCACCTTGCATGTGGCAGTCAGCTATCACGCTGTGATGATGCCAAATTACAGCAGGAAATGCCAGCAACAAAATGAATGCAAACAAGGAGCCCGTTTGGTGATCTGAGGCACTTTCCTTCAATTTTAAAACAGGTCCATCAATTTACTCTAGGTTTAAAAAAAAAAAAAAAAAAAAGAAAAAGGCTATGTCTTTTCCTCATATGAACTCTGTGGGGATGATAATGAGAAATCAATTTGCCTTCCACCAGAACAAGTTCTTCACGGGCAGCATTAGCTCCCATTTAGCTCGAGTTCCACCTACAGTGCATCAGCTCTGTGGTTCTGTGTGCTTGTTGATAATGTAGGACACAATTGTTAGCTGCTAAGTGCTTCGAATATATAGCGATAACACTGATAACGTGTATGATTGAAATGTGTTGCTAATGAACGTCTAGCTAAGTTTTGTTTTAAGGTTTAAGCTGGCCTGTTCTATCAGCCTTCAAAATGCTTCTATCGCAGCAATCTCCAGTTCCCCAAAATGCATAAATTTACACCCAAGTGTGAATTCAGCTGCAGCACCCCTTGCTTCCTCAGAGACATCTCAGATGTATAAAGCTCAGAGATCACAACAAGAAAAAGCATGCACTGCTTGGCCATGCTTCACTACAGCCCAGAAACTCGACTTAGAGTCGTGGTGAGTGGAATTTTCAAACCACTTCCAAGCTTTAAGCACGCCAGAAATACCACATGGTTTGAAACACAGTGGGAAAACAAATGTTAACATTGCTATAGATCGGAAAAGTTTTGAATACTTTCCAGTCTATTTTATCTCTCTATTTCACAGATACAAAAAAAATAAAGAAAACTACGTACCTGGGTCCAGTTCTGTGAACAGAAATACCACATACTTGTATTGAAGTCAGCTAGAGAAAAATGATCGGATAAATTCAAAGCATTAATTGTGTAGTAGAATCCTGAGAAAGCCTATGGAAAAGGAGTAGATGAAAAGGCCTGTTACTTTCAGAACTACAGAAATCAAAAGCAAGAAAGTCTAAAGAAGAAATGCTTGTTTGCAAACCTACCACAAAATTCCCTTTAACTTTTGGCTGATGGACTCTATCAAATGGACAGTCTTCTTGGTTCTTGCAAGCAGTGAGGTTGAACAGTAACGAAACCATCTCCTGGCACAGACCTGGGTCTCCAGTTCCACGGAAGCTCACAGACTGGTTTGGGTAATAATTTGCTGGTCTCAGGGACTGCGTGCAGAGGCTGCCACAAAAGTACTTCACCGTTAATGCAGTGTTGTAATTCCGAGGGTAACACGGATTATCCACGCTGGAGCTGGTGCTTGATTTCTGAAGGAAAACAATAAAGGCAACTCAAAAACAAGAAAGACCTAATGGGACAACAGCTACAGGAATCTTTTAACCCGTGTAAATGTGTGTAAATTTTAATCAATGTTGCTGAACATCGTAATTCATAGAAATTCCTTTCCCCAAAAAAATCATTGGCAAGATCAGCAAAACACCTACAGGACTTGTTGGGTCTTTTTGTTAAATGATACAAAACTCAAACCAAAGATTTCAAAGATCTTTGAAACCTAAGTGCATTTGTCCACAAGTAAGCACCACAGGGCTTTTACTGTGGTCTCTGAACTTCACCAAGGGGAAGAGCACACAAGCCTCAGAACCTTCTCAGGCAATTACCAAATGGCTGCAAGAGCATCACAGCAATGGGTCTCAAACAGACCTGGAGCAACAATGCTAAAAGCCTTTTCTCTGCTTCATCCCTCCCGTAGCACTGGAAGCTGTGAGTGTAGACATTGTAGTTGTAACCATACAACTTCACTTGCAAGGTGCTATTGAAGTTCTCCTGAGAGACCTCCGGGATAAATGAAATTTGGGTGGAAGCTCCTCCAAGGTCCAGGGCACCCATGGTCTCCTTTCTGTATGGATGGACCCATGTCCTCCAAAGGTTTCTCTACATGTAAAAAGAAAAGCAAAGCTAATTAGAAATATCATCTGCTTGTTCTCCCTTCGAGCTTTTCTACTTCTCACTTAACTATTTTAGATTCCCCCCACCCTTTGTCCTCCGCTCCTTCTGAAAAATCCTAGCTCTGTGTTTTTTTAGATGTGAGGGATGTACTTTCACAGAGTAAAAGGAGGTTGAAAGATGGAAAAAGAAGACAGGACAATAATCAAAGCACTAGCCAGATCAATATCTGTACTAGAATGCAGGAAATTGAAGTCTCTGGGTACCCGTGAGATCTTGAACAAATCTGGATGGAAGCAGCATGAAGATTTGCTTGTTTCAAGGCAAGAGGAATTATTAAAGGAATAAAACACTAAAAGATCACACAGGAAAAGAGAATGAAAATAGGGTGAAAAAAAACAGTAGTCAAACAAAATCTCCATCAAAGTCAAAGGAACAAGAACCCCTAATCTGCATTTCCTTCACTGAAGCTGCAGTGGCAATAAATCTCATCCATTCACAGCTGGTGCTTCTCCCTGCTACCCAAAACATTCCCCAAATTCTTTATTCGATCCATACAGCCACAGAGCAGAATATATTTCTGCATCATTATCTACCTCCTTATTTACGGTAGTATTATTTACCGAGGGTAATATGTATGCAGAAGAAGGGAAAAGAAACTTTATAGGACTAGCAAACATGCTCATGAGAAAAAACCTACAGCGAAAGATTCCCTTTAACAGCCCCCAGCCTAATTCCACTCTTAGCACCATTCTTGTCACGATTAAAATTCAGGTGGTGGAAGACTGGCACCACCCTGACGTTCACGAAGCCATCACTGTTGCATGAAATGAGGAAAGCTGTGCCAGAACACGTGATTCTAGTGTAATTTTTCTTAACTTTGTAGGAACCAACAGCACGTTCATTGTGAGCTATCACCTGGATCACCAGCATCCAATTCCTGCTTATTAATTGCCAGGACTGAACAGGAACCGTTCTGCCCAGACAGTGAACAACACTCGGGGGTCTGCTTGAAATTTATGACAGCCTTGCAAGACTATCTGGAAGAAGCACAATAATGCTAAGAGCAGCACACGACTGCCATAAACACAGACAGGACGAGCAGTTGCTGGTCATCTTGGGACTGTTTTTACTGGGAATGAAAAAAATCCCAGAGAAAACGCTGTCTGCCATGGAGCACCTGCCTGACAGTCATCACCTGGCACATTTCAACATACCAATGCACTTAAGGGCAAGGCAACTCCTCTCCTGTGTGAGGCATCTTGAAGTCATTTGTGGAAGAGCCCTGCTTTGTGGGTCAACAATTTTACCTTTATCACATCCCTGTCACATCGTATCCTTTATGTTTGCTTTGTTCAGTTACTGCCACAACAAGATGTTACAGTGTGAAATTACAGTTACAGCTCATGTTTCAACAGGCATTTCCCTCTCTTTGTATACATGAAACTACAAATGAAGCTTTTCGTTTATAACAGAGACAACAGTGAAAAGAAAAGCATGCATTTTTTTTCCACACACCTCCAAGAAATTGCCCATTAAATAGTTGGCTGTTATCCATCCGTACACCCCTTCCTCTGTTCCAGTTATGATTTGCGCGCCCCTAAATTCGAAAGGTTGTGCTCTGAAGTAGTGCTGAATGCTCGCAAGGACTTCATTGGCTGCTGTTTCGTTTTGCAACCTAAGCGAGTCACAAAACACGAGACACTGAGCATCTGGAAAGGCAATTCCATATTTTATTCCTCACTAACTAGAAATTCAAGAAGAAACTAACAAAAAATGGACATTGTTTTAGCCCAAAGGGGAAGCTTACTGTAGGGAACAGCCAGGTACCCAGCCTCACTGCAGCTGGCAACTCGCCCACTGAGTACCAACTTCACTCTTTATCATAGGAGCTCATGGGTATTTTGTTTCTTACACACACTTTTTAGTGAACTGAGTGCTTATAGGACAGCTGCTGGCTAGGACAGACCTAAGTTTTTCTTCCCACTCTGTTCAGTCACAGACCAAACATGTAAAACACAGTTTGTGCCATGGCTAAAACCACAGAGAGACCCCAAAAGCCCCATTACACTGCACTCATGCTAAGAAAGCTCTGCGGCGTGTAGCTTTAATCTGTTTTTGCTGCCCTCAGACAGGCACAAACATCATCTGCTTACACAACACTGGATTTTAAGGTAGCTTTGGAAGAGAGAATTAAACGCTTGCCTTCTCCAGAGTAAAGCAAGCATTTCTTTTCAATATGGCACAGCAGAGGACTTTCGTACAGCCTCCCTTTCCCTATCAAGAAAGTTAATTGAATTCAATTGGCTGGGCTCCATTTCCTTTTCCAAAGAGCAATTTCCAGTGGACAGAAACATGTCCAAGACATTTTTCTCCTTCTTTCTGCACAGCCTGCTACGCCAGGACGCATGCAGGGGAGTTCAGGTTTGCACGATACCTCAGCAGTCTCATGCCAGCTGTAGCCCCCAGATAAACAGAAGTGGTTTTATGCAGATGAACGGGGATTCGCTCCTTGACTTTTTTCAGACAGTCATCAAGGGGTTTGGCAAGGGCTCCTGGGTTATTCTCATAGCTGGATATACCAGGGCCTAAAAGAGAACAAGTAGATTGATTGCATTCTGCTCTGCCAACTCCAAATTAGCCTAATTATGCAAGCAGTTGTGATGAGAAAGAGGCTCCACCTTTCCTCCTGTAGTTGTAAACAAGGACAGGGTGGCGGAAAGCTAGGGCTGCTTCAGGAATAAACAGGGTAGCGACTGGCTCAGCTGGGTTGAGACAGAGAAGATATTTGAAACTGCTTGAATTTTATATATATGGTGTATATAAAATACGTAAGTACAACCATCTAGTGCCATAATGGCAATGGTGCTGCATTCCTGAGGAAAATAGGTTTACTTTTGGCAGATGTTGTAGAAACTGAGATGTCTAATGAACGTAAAATCCCCCTGATCTGCCAAACTAGAGAAAATCCCTCCTTCCACAACCTAAGGCGAAGATTTCCCAACCTGTTTTGCTGCAGTTGTTGTGGGAACCACGGCACCTCTACAGCTCATTGCTCTCAGCTGACAATAAAACAAAGAGGCTTCTGCAGGGAACTGCTGGTGAAATTCCCAGATGCACACAAAAGGCTCTTGGGCTCCTGGAGGTACAAGTCCAGGTTGGTGCTTGGTATTCCACAGCCCTCCCAGCTTCCAAGGCCTTACAATATCCGGAGTGAGTCAGCGCAAGGCGTCCCTGCTTGAACACCTGACATCAAAGGCTTTCCTCCATTGCTCAACGCCCCAAGGACCAGCAGGACCTCAACTTGTTCAGGCTTAACTCGGGTGTGAATCACAACATTCCTCACCAAGATTCCCCAGCCCAGGAAGCGGCGCACGGGGAAACCCAGGCATTCCCACGGAGCCACTGCCCCACACGGAGAACAACCCTGCCAGATCCCCATCCACTTCTCTCGCCACAGCCACCTCTCCCACCAGCCCGACCCCAAGCTAAGCAGAGGGCAGCTCTCCGAGTTAAATGAGGAACCTTTTCTCTTCAGCCACATACACCCCTGCATTGGTAAAGAAGAAAATAAAGGAAAAAATACAAAAGGAGACTCTACAGCCTCCACTTTCCACCACTTCTCCTTCCAGAGTATGAACTTACACACAGATATCACCATGTCTTTGTTAGATATTCCAGCCCTGCTTTGGAATAAGGCTTTTAAAAAGTTTTAAGTCTAGCACAGGCAGCCCTGAAGCTGGAAAAAAAGCTGTCAGAGGAAAACTCAGCAGCAGCTGCTGTCATCTAACAGCCCCCAAACTCCCTCTTGGTGGCAGCAGCCTGGGTCTCTTGGTTTAGGAACAGGCAGAGCAGGACACGGGGCTGTGACCATTTCTTCTGGGCAGGCACCTGCTTTGCTGATGCTTAGGGCCTGACCAGGACAGACTAACTGCAAGATAATGAGAGGGTTTTCATTTGGGGCTGGCTCGAACAGACAAGGCAGAAGTACCTAACAAGGGCAGAAACTAACAAGGGCAGTTCACAGCAATTTGGACTCCACTGTTGTGCAATGTTTTGTTTCCCCCCCCAAGGTAAAAACAAAACCTAAAGCAATTAAAGCCAATTCACAAAGAACTGCTCTGTCAGTTTTAGAGGAGAAGAGTAACTCAGTTTCTTTGTGCATCTTTCTCACACCACTATCCCTCCAGGCAACACCTCGGCAGGCAGGCTGCCACTCCTGCAGCCTGTGAGGACACACCATCAGGTGTGACAGCACATTTCTTCTGCGCACATTACTTTTGTTTTCCTTTCCTTGCTCTAAAATTGCTAAGAACAGCCACAGGTGCTTAATGGTGATGATAGAAATGTTGGCAGTGTTACGAAACCATTTGCTCCTGTACATCCCCAAGCTACTTATGGACCCCCAGGGCTGCAGGTTGAACATCCATCTCCAAACACACACCAGGATGCAGGATTTTACATGATTATGATTGAGAGAGAAGGAAAAAAATCTCCTCGAGTGCCACAGTTATTAGCAGAGATCAACAACATTTGCACTGAGACTTTATGGGACCAGCTGAGATGCTCAGCAGGACCATGGGGCAGATTCTCCTGGAAACTACACTAAGGCACGTGGAAAATAAAGAGGTGATTGCTGACAGCCAACCTGGCTTCCCTAAGGGCAGATTGTGCCTGAGCCATCTGGTAACCAAGAGTTTCAGAAGTTATGATGAAGGAATCCACAACAAACTGCACCGCGCAACTCCAGGTCTCCCTGAGTCAAAGGCCCACCTACACAGGGATATCTGACACAGCTACAACATCCTGTTAGAAGCAGTTCTGCAATGGAGCTATTTTACTTGGTAATTTCATCAGATGCTTCCTAGCTTTCTAGTCTCTGTAGCTCCAGGACAAGCTCTTCCTGTTCAGCTTCTGCATGCCTTGCACAACCCCCCCTCAGCTGCTTCTTTCAAAGTAATCGCTGAATAATGCCAGATAAACTGCACCAGCCCTGTTTCTCTAGGAAACCTGACTCAAACAGCAAAGGTTTCTTTAAACACCACTAACACCGCTGGGAAATAAAAGCTAATTTGTCAAACTTCAATAGCAGAGCACCCTACTGGAAATCAGAGCACCCTACTGTATCAAGGGGAGGACTGATGCTGTGCAAGAGAGATACAGATACAGTCTTAACAGTGCTTGCTCCCCAGCACTGAAAAGGAAACACAGTGAAAAAACAAAACAAAAAGCAGTAAAAGCTGTCGGCTAACCTTTTCTTGGAGGCTAGAAAGAAACAAGGAACTGCAGTCCGAGCGTACCTTTCACGTTGCACTTGAAGGTTTGGCTCACGACTCCCGTGTTGTTTTCTTTTTCTGCTGGCCATTCATAGACATAGACCGTAGTCCGTGAGGATCCAGCATCGAGAACTATTCCGTACTGGGGAGAAAAAGTAACAGCTTAGGAGACAAGCAAGCAACAAGAGGCAAATGGTGACAGCGTACAGGCCTCTGTGCAGCCGTACTTTTCTTGATCAAATCCTTTAGGAAGTGCAAGCACACTTTGTAAATATTTACAGGACTAAATATTTACCTGGCTAGTGTCAGGTGTTTAGGCAGAAATCCATCAGAGAAGCAAAACAAAGGGTGTTAACACAAAGAGCATGCTACAGGTCCTCAATCACAAATGCACTGGGAATGGAGAGTGCTCATCTCCTTTCCGCATCGGGTCCAAAACCCACACAGACACATTTATAGCACTGTGTTAAGACCCAATTTTGCAGCAAATTGCTTTCCCGTTATCCCAACTACACTCACTGGACAACGAAGGGCTTGGTGCCTAAGCACCGGCTTTAGATTCAAGGGTGCCCCAGGGATCCATAAAGTCATGAGCAGAGAGGTAAAAATGTGTAATAGCCCACGGGAAGATTGATGAAACAAGCCTGGTTCTTTTCTAATTCTACCATAAACCTTTCCCTTTGAGTGGCTTAGGCAGCCCACCTGAGAGTCTAGCTCTGAAAATAGCCTGTGCCAGGGTGCGAGACAACGAGGGAGGGAAAGAGAATTGATATTATCCCACTTTTATTTATGAAATAAATGAAAAATATTACTGTGACCTGCCCAAAGTCACTGGGCTCTCTGTAGGATTAAACTAGAGGCTTCTCCATCTCACTCCACTGCCCACCAGATCACTCTTACCTTCTTCCCCTCCTTCTGTGGCAGCAGAAAACTGGCAACCAGGCAGGCAAACAGCATGAATGAAAGCTGGTGAGGCTGTACCTGAAATATTCTGTCCAGTTCTGGACCCCCCAGTACAAGAGAGACCTGGACGTACTGGGGAGAGTCCAGTGTGGGGCTACCAAGTGATGAAAGGACCCAAGCACCTCTCCTCTCCTCTCAGGGAGCTGGGACTGTTCAGGCTGGAGAAAAGGCAGCTCAGGGGGGATCTCATCAATGTTTATAAATACCTGAAAGGATTTTGCAAAGAAGATGAAGACAGGCTCTTTTTTGGTGGTGCCCAGTGCCAGGACAAGAGGCAGTGGGCATGAACTGAACACAGAAGGTTCCCTCTGAACACCAGGCAGCACTTCTGTGCTGTGTGGGTGATGGGGCACTGGCAGAGGCTGCCCAGTCTCCCTCCTAGGATCTCCAAAATCTGCCTGGACGTGCCTTGGGGAACCTGTGCTAGGTGGCCTTGCTTGAGCAGGGAGCTGGGCCAGGTGGCCTCCAGAGGTCCCATCCCACCCCAGCCTTCTGGGATTTTGTGGAAGTAAACTGCAAATTTGTTTATCCCCCTTGTGATCCCCAAAAGTAAGCTCAGCAATCCCTCTCTTCCAAAATCATCTGACTGGTAGGAAGTGCATATTAACAGGGCTCATTTCTTAGTCAGCATTTTTTCTTTAAACAAACAAAAAAAAAAAAAGAAAGAAGGAGATGAACAATACTGCAAAATGAGAGCCTCCATCTGGCTGCAAAGCAGCAGCAGCAGCTGCAGCAGCAGCAGCCCGATCCATTTCATCACACTGCCTCCCCAGAGAGCCTCAGATCTGACCGAGGAAGGTTGCTGCTCCAGGTGGCAGACCGTTCAGCCTCTGCACCTCGTTAGTTCCCGGCTTCCCACCGTAATCCTGCAAACTCACGGCCCTCACAGAATCACCTCTAATATCAGCCTGTCTCCCAGAGGGCTGTTGGATAATGAAAATCTCACTCGTATTTACCCAGCTGGTATTTAACTTGATCAACCACAGGGCGAAAGGTTCCTTGGCCACTATCAATCCGCTAGGCCGTCAGGTTCTGTTCAAGCAAAGACACCTGAGGCATATTCCCCCTCCTCAAAAGACAGATGAGCGCTCTGCAGACACATAATGCACTAATGATAAATTTACTCAAGGGCTATTAATTAAATCCAGCCTCAGTCAGCCCCAAGTGCCAACCAGAAGCTTTTAACTTGGCTATTTTTAGTGCTAACTATCACGCCCAAGGAGAGCTGGAAAATAATATTTTTACCTCAGCTAACCCTGAGGCATTTTGACCCATTTCCATCCTCCTGCTCCAGGATTCCCCTGCATTTCCCATCCTGCTTCCTGAAAGTAACAAAATTACAACGCAAAGAGCAGTACAATTTCCTGAACCAATGCAAAATGCCCTGTGTGAGCACTTCTGTATGGCCTCTGAGGCAGTTTTACACTGTTCCCATTCAACCAACCTGGCTGTGGCCAAAACAGGTCAGGGATATTCACTTGAACAGCTCCAGAAGGCCACTTTCTACAGCTTTGCCTTCAGTTTTCTCTCATTGAAGAATCTGCAGCACAAGGCAAAGCCTGAACCTACTTCCCAGATTCTTTGTGTTTGTCTTTTTCAGCTTGCTCTGCCCCTCCTCATGAAGCTACTTTGCTTCTGTCAATAGCCAGCAAGTCCCAACGTGTGGTAAATCAGAAAATGCACACTTACAGCCTGAATGCTTTTATGAGCCTCAGGAGTGGTTTGCAATGATTTCAGCACAACCTTCCTCTCAAGCTGTGCCTGAGAGCAGAATTTCAACTCCAGGATATACTTCAAATAACTTCAAAATTATTTTAAAACCACTTCCAATCTCAGACAAAAAAAAAAAAAAGCAGCAGCATTTTTTTTTGTGTTTGGCCTTTCAGTCTTGGAGAAGCCTTTGTGCGATAGGCATCACAGACACTGAACCGAGGAATGCTTTTCCTGCTTTGCAAGTGACTTACTCTGTCATCTTGGCCAATTCTCTTTTTATCTCAGCCTCGGTTTTCCCATGACAAAGATGTGATGAATCATTAATTTGTGGCTGTAAAGTCACTCGCATTAAAATGCTATTTAGAAAGGAACATTATTAAATATCAATTCAAAACATTGTTCTCTGTCCTTACCTATTTTAAGGCTTACCTTAAGCCCCGGGGAGAGGATCTTTTGCTGATTTATCTGAATCACTGCAATAGCAATGACAAGAATTATGCTTAAGAGAAGGAACACTTGGGCAACAACGCTTGGAGTTCTGGTGAGCATCCTGTAGCAACAAAAGGGGAAATGCTTAAGGAACTTGAAAGGATTCGGTGATTGTGTATAAGACCTGGGACCCTGAATCAGTCAAGACTCCTCAAAAAATCTCATTGCATCAAATAAATTGTGCTACATGAAAATTCTTCCCAAGAACTGCCTGGTGCTTTGCTATCACTGACTTGCCATTGTCTAGAAGGCGGGTGTGCATACGGTTGTACCCGTGGTGCCATATTTCATCCTTAGCTGCCAGTCTGCACGTCTCCCACCGTGCCGACGTGTAGATGCAGGCTCCCCACCTGCTATTGCCTCAGGAGATGAGGGCAACAGGCAGGCTGGGGCTAGAGCACCCTGAACCATCCCACGTGTGCTTGTGACAGAGACACAGCCACGTAGACACAATGCTGGCGGCTGCTGAATGAAGATGAATGCAGGTTCCTGCCAGAGATGCAAGGTCATGGTCTGTACTAGATACAGGCTGCTTTAGCAAGAAACTAGGAAGGTTTCAGGAACATCGAAGCAGGCATCTTTGTTCTAACTGCCAATGCAATCATGAAGTAGGTTTGTGTGTATGTCTGTACACGTATTAATGCAGAGCCTGGTACTATCTTTCTGTACTACTCAAAAAGTAAAAATATACAGTTTAACTCAAAAATCTTGCCATGAGAAGCACTAAATCTACATAAATCTAAAGCGTAGTTATACTAGACCAATGTAAAGCTGACATGAAGCATGCACACTGAAGGTAAGGGTGTCTATAACCTCTAGAAATGTTTTCCAGAATTCAAATGCATTTGAGGTTTCCTGTTATTCCTACTCATCCTTTATTTTTGCATGTCCCTAGCCTGACAGCTTTTCACTCCAAAAGGCCTTCAAGTCTGAAAACCCCATATTAAAAATTTTTACGCTCCACAGGGTTGAGGAGGAAAGAAGTGGTAGGTGATAAGCATTGAAGTTTCAGAGGAACACAAAAAGAAGAACTTTCTTGTCTTTCTCATTTCCAGAAACTAGTTACTTTGGCATATAAATATCAGGTTAGTCCTGGCATCCCATTAGTCCCACTGTACCTGCAGCACATCGTCTGTCCCCTTAGCTCCAACCAGAGCCAGAGGACCGAGGAAGAAGGGCAGAATAAAGTGCTTCTTCACACAGCTTCCATATTCTAAGCCCTGTGAGTTCTTCAGCCTGTGTTATCCATAATTGAAAGGTGACTGAAAGAGAAGTTATCTACTTGCAACCTAATTTATACCATTCATTCCTGGATCAAAGCACTGGTAGTGCTGGAAAAGATAAGTTATTATCAAGGGGAAAAAAAAAAACTCAGGGCAAGGAAGTCTTTGAAAAACTAAAGCACTACTAAAGAGACAAGCAATAATAATTATTATACTATTAACACTCAAGAACACCCGTGATGACTGCTGAGATGTTTTCTGCTATATCCTTTTTATCACGTGCTTTCCTTGTACTGGGATTCATCTTCGTTAGACACATTTTCTCATTTCAAAAACCTTTTCTGATAGGGAGCGTATTGGGTAAAGGAGCTTCTCTTAAGACATTCCTCCTACAATCTTGTCCCATTAGTAAATAGGACAGTTTCATCAGAGAGTGACACGTATATTCCCATTTCAGCAGTAGGCTTTGTGTCAGAAGGAGGACACCTTACACTCCATGCCCTCCTGAAGTCACCCCGCAGGTGACACCTTACCATCCGAACTGCCCACGTCGGTGGAAGATTTCACATAACTGGGTCAGAAGTGCAGGGCTGCACCCAATTTTAGCTAGCCTCACCCAGGTCTCACACATCCTAGGCAACACAGTAATTTTTATTGCATTCACTGAAATCCACAGAGGTACCAGAGGGGGTTCAACAGAGGTGTAAGGCAAGTAACTCACAGGAGCTAACATCCTGTGCCTGCTAGCAAAAAGACAAATAAGATTTCAATTAAGTATCAAAAAGCGGTTGAATCTCATTATTAAAACATTCTCCTGAAGCAAGACAGAAACACAGCCGTGTATTTTTCACAGCCAGTTGAGTATCGTGGACCACACAGATATAGTGGATGACCATTTTCTACGCCCTAGTTCAAGCAAAAGGAATGCAAAGGAAAGCTGACTAAACTTCTTCATGCCACCAACATTTTGAGTTTAACCAGGTTAAATATACATCTGTACGAATGCCAGTGCATATTATATGTTGAGATTCCTTCCTCCGAGTTACCTGAAACATCAAACCCGCTTATTTTAGGTACTGACCTGTTTGTTCATAGGGCGGATGGGCAAGCAGCGTACCTTCCTTCACACAGTAACTGGAAATACGCAGACATTAGCGTTTATTTAGAAGTGGTCTGCAGGTGAACGCTTTTCAAGCGATGCAAAAAACCAAAACCACAGCATTTTCAAACCTGCGAGAGAAGCTTTCGCAGACCTGCCTTCGGAGCAGCAGGAGGAGGAGAAAAGAAGTAAAACAAGCACACGGAGCCTAAAGGGAGAGGCCGAACCCGCTGAGCTTTCCCTCTGCTCACCGCCCCAGGTGAAAAGGCTTCGAGCACCGCTTGTGGTTTCCGACAAAGCCCCAAATTTCCCCCTTTGCACGGGAAAAGCCGAGGGAAGGAGCCGAAGGGGAGAGCCCACAGGGGGAACCCGCCCGCCCGCCATCTCCCTCCCCTCAGCGGGGCGGCCGCTGGGCGGGAAACCGCCCCTCCGCCCGGCCCTCGCAGGGAAAGATGAATAAATAAAATTAAATTTCCCTTTCTCCTCCAGCTGCTGCCCTCTTTCCGGAAACAGATCTGGCTTTGATTACTACAGAGCTGCGTGTCCCTAAATGTTCTTGGGTTCTGCCCCAGAGCAAAGGCAGGAGGAGTGTGTTGCCTGGAGGTGACGCTGTGGGTATATCCCTCCCTCCTCTGTAGGAAACAAGTGTTTCCTCAGCAGGATTTTTCTAAGTCCTCACAAACCGGCAGCCCTACAGTTTCGAGGCTTCCTTTCCATTCAGGTTCAAACATTTTAGCCCCCCTGGGTTTGCAGTTTTGCTGGATTCCTCACCAAACCTAGACTGAGCAGTGGGGTTAGCACAGACACAGATGCGTGTGTAAAAGCAGTGTCACAAAGATGAGGCTCCCATCACTTGTCCGACCTGTGTGATCAGCTCCAGACAGGGATCACACAACAGCCTACAGGATGGGTTTGCCAGAGACACGAGCTCTAGAATCACACTGAGATGCCTTAAGCACTTCGTCATCATTTGCCTATTCCGCTCGGATTCAGATTCACATAATGTAAATAAAATAAAATAAAAATACACTCCGTTGCTTTCTTTCCTTGTATTGATCTTGATGAATTACATTATCTCTGATTTATGAATAAAGAAAGGAGAACAAGCAACCAGCTGCAGCGTAGTGACTCACCTATAAGGTTCCTTACATAGCCTACCCATTTCAGGACCTCTGCTCTACTGTGCTTTACAATTAGGAGCAGAGGTCATTTCTTTTGATGACAACATGTTATTAAAGTTGGATTAATGGTGATCTTCACAGATCAGTTTGGCTATTTCTGGTTAAAGACAAAGCCTCCCATCCATCCTGATTCCCTGGCTGCTTCATGTACTTCCTTTCTTCTATGCCATTTCCCTTCCCGAGGCATCTTTTTCTTCTTCCATCCAAGTACATTTGTTTTAATTCATTTAGCCCAACAGACTGTATTAGTCTGCTCTGCTGGGAGAGAATCTGTCTCAAATGTCCCTTTTAAATGTCAGAGAAGCTGGATTGCTTACAACCCCATGGTAAAGCATACTCTTTTTGCTACCGTCAAATGAAAACACTTTGAAGTAAAAAATAAAGCACTGGCATCCACCATCACTTCAGCTAGTTCTACAACCTGCTTCCACCAGTGACCACAGTGTAATGCTCACAAAGAAAGTAAAACTTGACCTTCCAAAGCATTCATTTTCTTCCATAAAAACAGGTATGAGAGATTCTTTTTCTTTCTTCACCATTTGCAAGAGCTGGGCTGTTGCACAAGCTGCTTTTCTCATGACATTTATTGCTGTGCTAAAGCCATGATAGCAGTGTAAGTGATATGAGCTGTAAAATCCCCCAGCTGCTTTTAGAGCCCAGAACATTGGTCCTAAATCAAATGGTCTAGAAGCAAGATTCCCCTCCAGGCCAGCCCAGCATCTGTGGCATGGTAGGACACTGGTTTCTTGACCAGTTCCTCTGATTCAACTCAGGGCTCATCTTAGATCCACTACTTTGTCTTCTTTTTCTTTCTTAAGCCTACCTCTTTGGCTTTTCTTCAGTTCCTTCCTTAGCCCTACCCTTCCTTTTATAGCTCCCTTCATCTGATCCTCCATCCCTTCTTCACTCCCAAGGCACGGCTTAAACTTGCTGCCATTTCCCCACCTTTCACCACGCCTGTAGCATGCACACCTCTCCATCATTTCCTTTGCTACAACAACTTTTTTTTTTTTTTTCCCCTTCAAGTATCCTTGTTTTAATACATTTAGTGTAACTGACTGTATTGATTTGCTTTGCTTGGACAGAATCTATCTCAGGTGTCCATTTAAAAATGACAAATGAGCTGGATTGCTGACAGCCCCGAAGAAAAGTTTATTGCTTTTGGTACCATTGAGCACAAATATGTGGATTTAAAATACAGTGACTGATATTGTCAGATTCACAGATGAATACTAGTTGCTATGATCAAGCAAATCTCCAGAATCTAAAATATTGTGGACATGAATAAAGTGTTCATTACAGACACGTTTTTGCAATACATTTATCATATCACATCTACACAGGATACACAGCAGACACTGCTTCATTTCCCTGTACAGTCACA